TACATGTTCGACAGCCTGTCATGGTTGTTATAGTGGCTCAAGCTCTGTTTTGTTTTATAATTTTGCTCAGGAGCGTGTGATTGTAATCTACGTTCACTACAGATCGGTGGCGCTGGCTTTTGTTCGTGGTGTTTTTCGAGTGTCAGATTTGAGGTGGAGGTGAAGGGAAGGCTGTAAGATGGAGAAAGGGGTCTGGGATTGTATTTCCTTGCTCGAAACAAAACAACCTGTGTGAAAATTATATCCTCGCTGATTGTGTGTTTGAGGAAGTGTGATCCCTAGATCGGGGCTCAGGGTTTTTTGCGTGGGATGGGGGAAGGATGTGGACGAGGAAACTTCCTCCTGTGTGTGTGTATGTGTGTGTGTGTGTGTGCGCCTGCAGCTGTGCGTCGCTGATTACAGGAACATCTGGGTCGTCGATTCCAGGAAATCTCACAATGGACTTAAAAGATCTGTGGGAGGCCAGACGTGACACGGCTGATATTAATTGAAAAGACCTGATTCTGGTAATAGCTATGCCCCCATATACAGGCTGGTGTTAGAATGTGATGTACTGTATATTTGAAGAGTTCAGATGCTAAAACCTCTTAGTGCCTTCTGAAACTTTCTTCTAACAATAACATTTTACAAGAAAATGCTAATTAGGCTAAGAAAAATACTCATTTTAGTAGAAAAACCAGACTGAACTCTTCATTTGATGCAGGTGTTTCCACCAGTCTTTTAGCTTCCTAAATGAAAAATTTCCAACCCCAGAATAAAGCAATCTTTCAAAGTGACATTTCTAATCAAATCTGAGAGTTTTATGTTTTTTTTGTTCACAAAGTCTGTTCACAGAAAGAAAGAAAAAAATCGGATGTTTCAAAAACATTCCTATATGGAGAATCCTAAGATAAATCCAAATGAATAGAGCGATTTAATCCAGGTCTTCTGAAGAGACACGAATGCATTAAATGATGAATACATTTCATTTTGACTTGAACATAAACATTCATCAGCGAACAGTGTTTTCAGCAGTCATGTTTGGCTCAAGCATGCTTGTTTGATGCGTGAGAAACTGGCTCAAATCCAGGCTCAATACATGACCTGAAATATATTGCTCTGCATTCGTTCGCTACATTGTTTTTGTACTTGGAATGTCCACAAGAGGGAGTTGCTTGTTGAAATCATCACCAACATTGTACCATACCCTAAACCTACCAACAGTGTAAACATGACATGAATCTGCATTTGTGCATTTGCCATTTACCTTGTTTTTTCAAGAGCTCTTTGATTGGTCCTGTGATATATATTTTTAATGAACATCTTGATGGACAACATGTTTTGTAAAATGCTGGCAGAAACCAAGCTTTTTGGTCAATGCCAAAGTCACATACATTGTAGCACTCCTAGTTAGGAGTTAGAAAACCACAACTCTTTTCCCCCCCAGAAATGTGTCTTTCCTGGTGTTTGGCTGAGCATATGTTCACTGAGGGGTTTATAACTGACTGTTAAAAAAGACTGAGACACAGTCTATTACACGCTCACTTAGTATGTGTGTGTGTGTGTGTGTGTGTGTGTGTGTGTGTGTGTGTGTGTGTGTGTGTGTGTGTGTGTGTGTGTGTGTGTGTGTGTGTGTGTGTGTGTGTGTGTTTAACAGGTGTCATCATCCTGCAGGATTGTTTGAATAAACTAATTTTTCCTTTGCTCTTTTCGACTGAAGTCGTTTTAGCAGATTTACATGACAGACCATGTCTCATTCTACCCAAGAGCTGTGTGAGACAACACAAGAACATACTTTGTGAGTTATTGAGCAAACAGGCTAGGTTCGTTAGAAATTATGCACATGATTAAAGTGTTTTTGATGTTTCATAAGTTATTGTGCAAATAACCCCACCAAAATAAGCCTACATTCATCAAATGTTTACAAAAAGTGTACGCTTTTGTGATGTTTGTAGAGGGTTGACCATCAAAGAAGAATTCTTGGATGTCAAGCCAGCACATTTGAGCTTTTGCAAGAACCAATGGGGGATTTGCAAATAGTTCACTAAAAGAAAATAATTCTGTCAGTTTACTTACTCAACCTTCACTTGTTGCAAAGATATTTGAGATTCCTCTGTTGAATAGAAATGAATATATTTGTTTAAAATGCTGGTAGCTGGGAACCATTGACTTCCATATATTTGTTTTTCCTACTATGGAATTCGAATTGAAAAAACAAAAAGTAAAACAAAAAAGATGGATTCTCTGTTTTAAAACCACATGAGGGAAAATAAATATGAGGTCATTTGAATTTTTTGGTAATTACATTTATTTACACTATCCCTTTAAAAACATTGGATTAACGGCAAACAGTCCTGAGAATGTTTGTAAGACCCTTGACTGTCACAAAATCATTCATATGTTTACGCAAACTCACATTTGTGTTGACACTGTTAGTTTGCAATGGAGAGAAAAGACGTGTGTTGTATTGTTCATCAAAATGGTACTTGTGCTTATCAAGGTTGATTAAACCTATATAAAAAGAATGTAAACAAATATGATCAGCTCACATATAAGATTGCATCCATGTTATTATGCAATAGGATATTCACACTCATTCATAAATGCACCAAGGACCAATGCTGTGTATTGGTCCTTAGTGTAACATCAAAAGCAGAGGGTATTCATTGTATTTAGCATTTATGATTTATTTATTTTTTTACTTAAAATTTCCAAAAACTGCTGACCTTCACTTTATGAATCACCAGAGAGCACTCTTTTAGTTTAAAAAGTACTGTCAATAACACTTTAGAACAATGGTCCATGCTAGTTAGTATATTTCCTAACATAATATAAGTATGAATAATCTTGTAAAGCATTTATTAATCACAGTTCAACATTTACTAATGCATTATTAAAATCCACAGTTGATGACATTAGTTGAAGCTCTGTGAGTTAACATGAGCTAACATTATTTAACTTAAATAAATGTAACTAACCTGAACAAAGAGTTCTATAGTAAACACAGTAATAAGTGTATTACAGTACCTATTGTTTTTTCATCTAAATACATTAAAGGGGGCCTATATGCAAAAATCTCATTTATAGCGGGTTTAAATATAGTTGTGTGACAAAAGTGTGTAAATATAGCCAGCCTTTGTCTAAATGGATTAATTCTGTTTTCATAATAACATTTGATAAAAACAGTCTCCAGAAACACTTTGATTGACATTCTCCCTTTGTACGTCATCAGAGGGGGAAAGCCCCGCCCACTAGTGACTAATTCGTCCTCATTAGCATACATAGATATATACACTAGATATCACATACGGACCCTGAACATGCGTCAATAGCGCCGCCACATTTCTACAGTGCTTCCAGGACAAATGTCATTCAAACACACTAGTCAAGACAGTGTGTCAACGTGAAAATGCTGGACTTTAGGGCTGTGTACGTGTGTAGTAAAGAGCAAACAAAGACGCACACAGGCAGAACATTTCATAGGTAATATTTAATTTTGTACATTTTTGTTTGGTATGAACTTTTGTGCTAAATATTGATGATTATACAGTCACAGCCTACTGCACTGACCATAAGGTAAAGTATCACCAACTCGCACTAAATTCCAGGCTTATGCTAGTTCTATTAAAGAAAATAAGCAAACAATGTAAATAAAATATGGCAAGATGCTGCGGTGCCAGAAACTTGTATTATTGTCGGCTAAGTGAACGAATGAGAATGAGAAGTGAAAGCAGGAGAGGGTGTGTGTTTCAGGACATGGATTAGATCAAATTTTACAGGGAGGGAGGATAATATATTTCCATGCACACAAACACATGCTTTTTGTCAGGAATGCCCGTGCGGTCTCTTATTAAAACAATTGCATACTGACCACCTGGAAAACTCCCGATCATAGATATATGTATATATATATATCTCTGGCTCTTAATGGTCTAAGTCTTCGACTACAGCTCATTCATTTCAAAGGTGCGCTACTCTGTACTAAAATGGCGGCTCTATTGACGCATTCCTTCCAATAGACAACAACAGTGTTGGTGACATCTAATGTAAATATCTATGATTAGCATAGACAGCCCTGAATGAGAAGCAGTTGTCCACCATTAGAGCTTTGAATCTGCCACAATGCTGACACATAAGCATTTATAGCTTTGAAAAGGAGCCGTAGAGAATTCAGAGCAACAGTCACCAAAATGGTACATTTTGGATCAAAGCCAATAAAGGGCAGTTTCAAAGAATTATAAACTATTATTTTGTGCGGTATTTAGAGCTGAAACTTCACATACACACTCTAGGGACATCAAAGAGTTATTTTACATCTTATAAAAAGGGACATAATAGATCTCCTTTAACCAACCTGAACCAATATTTTGCAATAATACTTTAATCGGGAAAATAAGTCAACAACATCTTTGAAATAGTTCTTTTTGTGTGAACTATTTCTTTAAATGTCTTAAAACCAAACTAAGCCAAATAAGACTATGTCAAGGAATCCAAAGTCCACTGGGCAACTGAGACAGATATACCAATCAGCCAGTTTTATTAAAGCCCGAGCACTAATGGTCTTTTGTAAATGCACCAATTCATCAACATTATGGAGGGTTTTTCTGTGAGTCAGCATGAGTGAGCTAAGGGTTAAGCCTTCATGTCTTGTGTCTCTGAAAGAGAGAGAGAGTGAGGGTGTGGCCTGCTGTTTGGCCGAGAGCCACCCATTCCCCCTCCTCTCTCTCTCTCTCTCTCTCTCTATTTCTCTCTCTCTCTCTCTCTCTCTCTCTTTCTCTCTGTCTGTGCACGTCAGTCTGTCTGGAATAGCCTGAGTAGCAGCAGTAACAGGAAATCAGAGCACTGTGGTTTCAGCACAATGGCAGAGCTCCACAGTTCAGCTCCCTGTAGCCTGTAGCCTGCTGAGCAGACTGGAGACCAGCTCACACAGTGTCTGGAGAGAGAGTTAGTTATCAGTTCACCTACAGTAAACCCACCCTCTTCCCTCTTTTTTTTTTTTTTTTTTTTTTGCTGGCTTGCAGGTGTTCCTGAAGGAAGCTTTGGAGCAGAGGCTGGAGAAGGAAAGAGAGGAGGTGCGCAAAGCGGCTGGTATGGTGATCCGGGCCCACATACTAAGTTATGTGGCAAGGTTAGTGCAGCTTTCTGCGTGTTTGTGTATAAACACTCTCTGTCGAATGAGGTCAGGTGAGTTTCGGAGACTGCCGCTGCAACTTGAGTTACTTTTTTATTGAGCCGAGTGCATGGGCTTAAAGAGTCGAATATGTGCATGACTTCAAGTTTGGAATGATTTACTAGAGATGCGTGCGAGTGTTGAGAGTAAAAGCAAGTGGATTGGATTCATTATGAAAGTGCAGGAAAAGTTGCCAGGAGTGTCTTTTTTACTGCAAACAGTGAACAAAAAGCACTACACATATACTAGCTAAAAAAATGCATGCTGATTTAGAAATCTGTCAGGTTTTTTGCTAGTTTTGAGGACTGTTATTGTGATCAGGGGTTTTATGTTCAGACATGCAGCTGAAAACTGAAGGAAATTGCTTAATCCATGCTGGCTTTTAGAGGTTTTGGGGACTTGTCAGCTGGTCATTCTGTGAGTACATTTAGTTCTTAAACTGATTTGCTGGTTTTAGCTTGATTAATTTGATCTTCAAGCCTTTGCGAGATTATTTTTGCCCAGACTTTGTTTTTTCAGCATATTGCTTATCAGTGTTAAGCATGTTTTAAACTTTTATATATGACAAGCTTAAGCCTATCTTAATCTTACTCATATATATATAAAAAAAACAAAAAAACATTCAAAATAAAATAACAAAACACATACTTACGCATTACTTTCATTAAAAAGAAACTAAAACATTTAGATACTTAAAAAAGTGACATAAGATTGTAGGATATTATTTTTCAAGTAACTTTAACACTGCTACTTATAGTAATAAATCAAAATATTGACATCAGTTTATTTGTGCTGTTTTCATGGTCAAGCAAATCAAATTGAATTAGATTTATTATAGTTCAAGAATAATCCATGAAATGATGGTCCATAAGTGTTGTTTCTCTTTAAATATTAAAACATTTCACACAAGTTCAGTTAATTTGCACGATGCATTTTTTAAGAATCAGTCAAGCCAGTTTTTAGGATTTATTGTATGATCAGGGGGTTTATGTTGGTACATGCAGCTTTGTGTTTCAGACGTGATTGCTGACTAGATGTGCTGCTATAAGAAAATTGCTTAACACTGGTTTTGTTTTCATTTTGCTGGCATTGTGAGAACATCTGATTGACCAGCTAAAGGCTTGGAGGCTAGCTTCACATAGCTGAGATCTAGATCGTTTTCTCCATTGACTTTTATGCCATGAAGAATCACACGTCATAAACATATCTGATAATAATAATCTACATCGGTTTTGAATAAAGAGTCTGTTGAGATAATTTGGATTGCGGGCATGTAGAAATAATATGCTACCCAATACTGAAGTCTTCACTTTGTCTATTTTGAGTTAAGTTTTGTGGATGGATTGAGAAAATCCATTATGTCAGTGAAGTTTGCACTGCAGAATGATTTACCAGAGCTGTGTGAATCAGTGTATTGAGAGCAAAAGCACGATTCGATCATCTAGATTAGATTCATTAGAAAATTACAAGGAAGCAATGAAGGTTACATATTTTTTTCTCATCTTTTCACTGCAAATTTTGAACACTATATAAGCTCTTTACACACAAGGCAATATATATGTACATGTTGTTTAACTGTTTAATAAATCAGTTGCTTTTAAAATCATTTGGGGGGAGGGGTGGGGGTTATGTTGTCATATACTGTTGTCATATACTGTAAATACAACTGTTTCTTTCATAGGTGACTCTTTAAAAGGGAGTTCACCCAAAACTAAAAGTTTCTGTCATCATATTCTCACCCTCTACTTGTTCCAAATCTATTTCAAATCTATTTCATTATTTTTTTTTAACCTTTTTTCACAAAAGACGATATTTTGAAAAAATGTTGGACTATTGACATCCATAGTATTTATTTTTCATTCCAACATTCTTAACTAAACATCATATAGTAAAGCCTTGGAAATCAGCTTTAACTAGCTAAGACCCGAAACACACCACTTTTTAGTAAATAGGCTCACTCAAGTCCTCTTCAGTTAAATAGTTGAGTTTTGCGTATTTTTAATCCATTCAGCTGATCTCCTTCTTCACCGGGAGCTTAAATAGTATATATTTGTAGTATAGTATGGTATGGTATAGTATAGTATAGTATAGTATAGTATAGTATAGTATAGTATAGTATAGTATAGTATAGTATAGTATAGTATAGCATAGGGCGTCACGGTGGTGCAGTGGGTAGCATTATTGCCTCAGAGCAAGAAGATCACTGGTTCGTGCCCCAGCTGCGTCAATTGTCATTTCTGTGTGGAGTTTGCACGTTCTCCCCGTGTTTGTGTGGGTTTCCCCCACAGTTCAATGACATGCAGTATAAGTGAATTGAATACATAAAATTGTCCTTAGTGTATGTGTGTGAATGCAATAGTGCTGGATAAGTTGGCAGTTCATTCCTCTGTAGCGACCCCTGATTAATAAAGGGACTAAGCCAAAAAGAAAACAAATGAGTATAGTATTGTATAGTATAGTATAGTATAGTATAGTATAGTATAGTATAGTATAGTATCGTATCGTATCGCATCGTATAGTATAGTATAGTATAGTATAGTATAGCATAGTATAGCATAGTATAGTATTGTATAGTATATTAAATAGCTTTAAATTGGAAAATTATCAAAACTCTGAAATTTTCAAGCAAGTTGCTAATGGTCTAATCCAATTCTATGCTAATCTAAGCTAAAAGTGCTACCTCCAAAACCAGAGATCGGCTGAATGGATTTTTAAAAAGGGGAAAACTCAACTGTTTTACTTTAGAGGAAATAAAATGAACCTATTAAAAATAAAATTAAAGTATTCCTTTAAAGCTTTATGAGAAAGATATCTTCAGCAGGTTAATTCAATGCCTTACTCAATCAAATTGACATCAAAATATGACCAATTATTAAGTTTAAATTCTATATTAAAATGTTGTTTTGGTTTTTGGGCTTTACAAGAATCTCTAAAGCATCATTTTGTTTACACAATTAAGTGAACACATACTGTACAGTGCACACACATACTGTACAGACACTCAGTTCAGCATTGCAGGTCAGGTGTGAGGTTTTCTGCTTTGAGTCTATGGCCCTGTTTAAACATGATGTGAAGATTAAGAAATTTAATATGGGGGAGACTTATTGCTATTTACACCTGGTGTTTTAATCTGTCTCTTTTGTCCACTATTAACCACTTATTTGAGAGGAAGGTCTATGGTCAAGTATATATGGACAAAGAAAAAAAAGCTCATGCAATTGATTGTGAAAGAAGTAATTGGAAAATTATTAAAAGTGCAGCATTTTTTTGGTAACTATGTTAAAAGCTGTAGGTGCGTGTTTATTTATTGTCATAATATATTTGTGTCTGAGACTGTGGCTATTTTGAACTATGTGGCTAATTGCTTTTGAGTGGTTTTCTTATTGTAATAATAACAACATATTAGTTGAGTAATTGCTATAATTTGCTCAGAACGACTGTAAGATTCCTGCAAACCAATCATTAATGAAAAGCCCCAAGGACTTGCTTTCTAATGTCATAACTCTTTTCTTCCCAGAAAACACTATAAAAGAGTTCAGAGCAGCACCGTCACAATCCAAAAGAACTACCGCGCTTACTTCTGGAGACAAGCATTTCTTCGTTTCCGCTCAGCCGCCGTGGTCCTCCAGAAGCACCTGCGTGGGCAGATCGCTCGTCAGCTCTACCGGCAGCTTCTGGAGGAGAAACAGAGGAGAGAAGAGGAGGAGAGGATCAGAAGAGAAGAAGAGGAGAGGAGACGCCAGGAGGAGCTGAGGAGACTCCAGGAGGAGAAACAAAGACAAGAGGAAGAAAGGAGGAAAGAGGAGGAGAGACTGAGGCTTCTAGAAGAGGAGAAGAAGAGAAGAGAGGAGGAACAGGAGACTTTGCGGCTCCAGCAGGAGGAGGAAGAGCTGAAGAGGAGGCAAGAGGAGCTCAAGAGCAAGCAGATATTGGAGGACAGAGAGGCAGGGCACAGCAGGTAAAGCGTAATCTGATGGGCAAATGTTTGACTTTTAATTTAGGTCAACTAAAATCTGCATCAGCTGCGGGACTGTGCTTAATCTCTTTCTAAAAGGATTCTCTCCTCTTTTGCCTCATATTAGGAGCCTAGTGGGGAAAAACCATCACAACCACAAGGTATTAGTTCTGTTTAACGTTTTATTTGATGTTCCTATGAGAGAGATTTCTAATCTGAAAAGGTTTATGTAACGTGTTGTCCTTATTTTCTGTTAACTTGCTAAAATGTCTTGTTGGTAATGCCATGGCCTTGTGATGTAAAGCAAAAGAATCCTATTAAAAACCTAATATTTTCTGTATATTTTATTATGTAACATTTTCATCAGAATGTTTTTTTTTTTCTCTGAGCCTGCTATAGTGCAATTCTACTTTGGTTTACAGTAGACACACTAAAATTGCATTCAGTGTAACAATATTTTAATTTACAGTTGAAGTCAGAATTATTAGACCCCCTGTATTTTTTTCCCCAATTTCTGTTTAACGGAGAGAAGATTTTCTCAACACATTTCTAAGCATATTAGTTTTAGTAACTTATGTCTAACAACTGACATGATGACTAAATAATATTTTACTCTATATTTTTTAAAACACATTCACGCAGCTTAAAGTTAAATTTAAAGGCTTAACTAGGCTAATTAGGTTAACTAGGCAGGTTAGGGTAATTAGGCAAGTTAATGTTTAACGATGGTTTGTTCTGTAGATTGTCGGAAAAAAATAGCTTAAAGGGGCTAATAATTTTGACCTTAAAATGTTTTTTAAAAAAATTAAAAACTGCTTTTAAAATAACTGCTAGCCGAAATAAAACAAATAAAACTTTCTCCAGAAGAAAAAATATTATCAGACATACTGTAAAAAAATTCTTGCTCTGTTAAATATCATTTGAGAAATATTTAAAAAAGAAAAAAAAATTGAAGAGGGGTTAATAATTCTGACTTTAACTCTATATATAATACATAATATTGATAGCCATATTTAGATATGCTGATATAAACTTTTTTAAGCGACAGTAAGCACAGTGCAACCTCAAAATACAAATTAAATGTCATTTATATATTTATACTTTGCCACTGTCTTTTAATCCAGTAAGTTTTACCTATTTGTCAGCAAGAAGTTCTTTAAATATTTAAACTTTAATGTGAACAATTTTTTAAGCGTTTAAATATGTAAAAGAAAATTTATTTAATAAATTTAATTGCTTAAATGTATGTTACATTTTTATGTTAATTTTTTTCACAAAAATAGCTGCATTTATTAGTTTTCTGTGTTTATAAAACCCCTATAATAAATTTAGTTTGATGCTTGCACAAACTCCCAAACTCTCAAACACATGGATATATGAATTATAAAATATAAAACAATACTGTAAAAGCTTTATTAACTTAACATTTTCTTTAAAAAATATTTTGATATTTAAACATCTACACTCAGATTTATTTACAGTTTAAGGAATACATATTATTTATTTTCCATAGTAGCCACACTGCATGATATTTTAGGTCATTAAATTGAAACTTTTCCTGATATGGCAGTTTTTCAAACTTACTTATTTCACGACCCACATAATAGAATGATATCCACACTTATGTGCCATGATGTTTACATAATACTAAAAAGAATCCCATGAATCATCCATTTTGCATGCTACAGCATGAAACTTTCTTTGGACCATTGAAAGTGCTGAATAGACAGAATCAGCTTACGCTTTCTCATTTTCCCAGAAGGACGTGTCCCATAGCCTGTGCCAGTACTCGTCCGAGGAGGAGAGTCGTCAGATGGAGGAGATCCTGCGGCTGGAGCGAGAGATCGAGCGGCTGCAGAAACAGAGAGACGAAGGGGTTTCTCTCCTGAACGACAGCTCTAGAGACGAGCTGCGCCAGAAGAGGGACGCCGAGATCTACCGGCTGGAGAAAGAGGCTTCACGCGTGGCCACCGAGTTCCTGGAAATGCTGGACTTTGGAGGTTTGGAGCAGTCGCTGTCCAGTGAGGAAAATCTTCACGATCCTTCTGAAACCACCGCTCCTCTGGCCGAGGAAGAGGTGGATGAAGGTTTTCATGCGGAGGACGAGTGTATCCCGCTCCCAGACTTCCCTCCACTGGCTGCTGTGCCTCTTGATAAGGAGGTTCTCTCCAGTCTACCTCCTCCACCTCCTGCTTTTGCGGAAGGTCCGGTTGGCACATCTTCACCTGCACGGATGGAGCGACCCAAGTCCAGTTCATCCATCAAACACAACAGACTCTCAGACATCCCTCCACCTCCACCCACAGCTCCACCGCCTCCTCCACCAACGCTGATTTCAAGCAGAGTTGACTTTGAAGTGGTGTATAAAAGCCCCAGGAAGACGGAGATCTTGCTGCCGGAGGAGGAAACCAGCTTCAGCATTCTGCCCGACACAGAGTCGGATTATGACCAAGAGGAGTTCGAGGAGGCACTGGGGAGTTGTGGAGATGCTGGAAGCACAAACGATGGACATCTTACTGATGAGGAAGTTCTGCGCAGATCTTCATGTACTTATAACAGCACAGACTCCTTCAGGGGAAGCTCAGACTCGGTGAGTAAACGCAGTATTGATTTGCTTTTGTGTCATCATTTACTAACACACTCATGTCATTGGAAAACTATTTCTTTTGCTGAACACAAAAGACCATAGGTTAGAAGCCATTATTAGGCCCACACAGAAGCTCCATATAAATGCACAGTACTGTGCAAACATCTTAGGCTGCTAGTATTTTCATCAAAAAAAGGTTTAAAGTTGGTTATTTCTGTTCATTTCTGTAGCATGTCAGTTTGAAATATCAATTTACATTCCCAAACATCATTTTTTGTCATTAAATACAATTTTAAAGTGAGATTATTGTCTGCACAAGGAGTCTGGCAACAGCCAGTGCTCCACACAGAGATCTGATCTGATTACTAAAGCCTGGTTCACACTACAGGATTGTAAACATCAGCAGATCGCTGTGCCGTTCACACTACATGACTTGACTTTGTGTCTTTTAATCTCTGTGGTGTTCACACTATGCAACACTCTGTGAATGATCCACAAGAGGGGGGTCACACACTACATGATCTGACAACAACTCATTCCCCATCAGCTCATTCAAGCTACCAAACCACAGCCAATGAAATTTTGAGGGAGGAGTCGTCAGAAAAAGCTGAACACTATTGGCTGCTTGTGTGCTCATTACATCACTGACAGTGTTTCAGGCTTTGGAGAAAGCATTTAAAAACATCGTCAATTCAGCTGATTTATCAGCGGATTAATCACTCATCTGCAAGGTTCCAGTGGATAGATACACAGAGAGTTTTTAATTTTTGTAATTTTATAACTTTTTGAAATAAAACATATTTAGAACACCCTGCCATTTTCTAACTATCAGTGTATTTCTTTCTGACATTGTTATTTTTTTTATTACAAAACAGTAAAGAACTGAGCATTTCTGCCTTAAATTGCCATATTGGTCAAAATGACTGCATGCATGTCTGATACTTTTCACTGTGACTTTAAATATGTGTGCATTTTTTTGCCTAGCAACTTCATGCTAACATAAACAAAACTTTCTGATGGCAAAAACATCAATTTACTTCAGATATCTTTCAAAACAGCATATTCTGTGCCGAATAGATCCTGTTTGAAAGTAAAAAAATGAAAGCCAAGACCTTTGCGTGTTCTAGTATCTTAACTACATATTTATAGGCTGTATAAACAAAAAAGATGATATTTTTAGGGTAATGGTGTCATTAAATATGATGCCAGACATTCAAAGCTTAATTTTAATATCTCAATAATAGCTTTGAATGTAAATATGTTGTGACAGTATGGTGTTTTATATGAGAACAATCAGAATGAACAGTATAATTCTAATAGTTACAGAATTCTAGTTCCACTGTTAATATAGCCTACTCTCATGTCTGTGTTAACGCAGAATGAAGCGAGTGCACCGATGCCCATTCTGACCAATCACAGATGTTTCTGCTGAGCTCCTGAACACACAGGCATTCAGCTCATGCTGATATGCTCTCTCATTGGCTGCAGCTCGTCACTACATCTGACCACACGTGGGGTTGAGTCGGCCGACTGCTCCGGAATATTTAGCATGCTGAATGTTGGATTTCCGTCTGCGAGGTGTTGGCGACGCGTCAGCGAGCCTCGTTGATGCGTTGTTCAGTAGTTCACACATAAAGAGCGGCGAGCGCCGTGCACGCGCAGATTTCTTCCCGATCACAGCCCGATCTGTTGGCGAGCTCGTTAACTTCCAAATCGGGCTCAAATCAGGCTTAAAATCCTCTAGTGTGAACTAGGCATAATCAGACATGAAGAAGCAGAACAAACTGAGACAAACTAAATCCAGAAGAACTTAGGGAACATCTCTAAGATGCTTCACAAAACTGCTACATTTTGCTGTATTTGGCTTGATTTACTCGCCAATGTACTAGATTACTCTAATACATAAAATAAGTAAGCTGACCAAAGTTCTTACAGGGAGAAGACTTATTGAAGATGATCAATAGTGCAGTTCCTCAGTGGTGATGTTAACTTAACTTCAAGTACTGTCTGTGAGACAGTAGGTTATACTAGCATCAAACAAACCATTCTGTGTTTACGAGGCTCAGCAGGACCCTCTTATCAGATGTTTCAGCTGTCGTTTGGGTTCACACCCATGACAAAAGGGTAATTTAGTTCACATCTATCAGATTGTGATGGTTGAGGCAAAGGTCACCCCAACACACACAGAATCGATCACATAAGAGTTCATTCAATGTAAATGCAATTGAACTAAAATGCACATAATCTTTCAAAACCTACCTGCAAAGCTACCTGAAAAACTATGGGCAAGTGTAGCAAGTGTTTTAAATGCAAAGTGTGGTCATACCAAATGTTGATTTGATTTAGGTAATTTAAGTTAATTGACAAATAAAATGTATTGCCGGCAGCCAGCTCTCTGCAACTCTACCATGGTGCCCCACTGAAAGTAAGCAGGGCTTAGACCGAGGTCCTGACTCCCAGGATATACTTCGAAAAGAGTTAGGTTTTAACCCTGGCATCCTGGTCAAATTTTCCCACTGGCCTCTGTCCATCATGACTTCCTAGCCATCCCCATATCATAATTTGCTTCATCACTCTGTCACCTCTCCACCAATCAATTGGTGTGGTGTGCGGTCTGGCGCAATATAGCTGCTGTCGTGTCATTCAGGTGTATGCTGCACACAGGTGGTGGATGAAGAGACTCCCCCTATGTGTAAAGCGCTTTGAGTGTCTAGAATGGTGCTATATAAAATGTAAGAAATTATTCACATTATTATTATATTATTTATGCATTCATTTTGAAAGCATCCTCATTTTACAGCATTTTTACACATGTGCCTAAAACTTTGAATTGTACTATAGCTTTGTAGGTAGGTTTTTAATGCATCTTAATGATGTTGCCAAAGTTCTTTTGGAATTAGGATAGTAGTGAATATGGCAATGCGGATGTGTTTGGCTTGGCGGCATGGATTTGCTATGCTGATGCTGCTTTGATTATTGGTGCAGAGCAAGTAATGAGACTTGCTACTGGCAGTATATTCACAAACATGCTGTCTCAGAATATAACACACTGCTGCTGCAAACATAACATACACAAAATCCCATAGCAGATCTATACACAGGTGGAGCTGGGGTGGAGGAAGGTATCTAAAAACACTCTACAGATTAGGGATGTGTGCATCAATGCTGAGGTACTGATTTATTGATACTCAGAAGCTACTAATTTGATATCTATACTTTCTTAAAATCATAGATTTTTTTATATTAATAATTTAGTTAAAACATATTGGGCAGATCTCACAATCTCTCAACGTAATTAATAAATTCTAAACAATCGGTTAATTAATTGTGGCTGAAGCCATTGATCTTTAAATTGTTAAATATCACAAGAATGTAGATTTGTTTTAAAAATTGTCTTTCTGAATTAAGAAATAAATGAAAGTATGCACAGCTTATGTTGTTGCTATTATTTATTTTAGTTAGATGTGTTATTTAATCAATATTTGTTCAAAGAAGGTTGTTTAAACACTATAATTTGTTTGTCAAATCAGATTTTCTAAAAAAGTTTTGTATCAAATTTATTATTTGTAATAATTTGTTAACAAATTACCATTATTTTGAAAAACCACATTCAGATTTAGGATAAGCAGAATCGGTTAAAATCTGACCAATTTGCCTTTTGCATATTTTTGTACTTTTGGTTATACCTATTTCCCAGAGATGGGTTGCGGCTGGAAGGGCATCCGCTGCGTAAAAATTTGCTGGATAAGTTGGCGGTTCATTCCGCTGTGGCGACCCCGGATTAATAAAGGGATAAAGCCGACAAGGAAATGAATGAATGGTTATACCTATGACTAAATCTACATTCATCACCAACAAATGATTTAAAACTTTGTTTGATTAAAAGCAAGCAATAATAAATTACTTTTAGCTGGGCCTTAAAAATTGAAATGAACTAAGCAGATAGGCAGTGCATTCCAGATTTTAGGAGCAGCAACTGAAAACACATAATCACCTTTAAGTTTACATTTGATTTTTAGAACCACCAAAAGTAACTGATTAGAAAATCTCAAGGACCTAAGAGAAGAATATCTGTTTACCAGTTTTACCAAACATTTTGGATCCATGCCGTCTGTTTTTAAAGCTTAAAAACAAACCATAAAAGTTTATATTTCATTCTAAATATAGCGAAATGAGAAATGAGGCCATGTTTTCGAGTGCCAGTCAGCAATCTTGATGCTGCATTTTGCACTGACTGTAACCAAGCCAAAGTTTTCTGGCTAGCTCCCACATAAAAAGTAGTTTAGGCGTGAAACAATAAAAGCATGAATAACTGTGCTCATTGAAAATCATTGAAAGACAGAAAGGACATCATTTTTGTTGTAGGTCTCAGCTTAAAAAAAGAATGTATTTGCTTGTCAAATTTAAAATCAGAATCAAATAAAATGCCTAGATTTTTCACCACTGCTTTATGAACTTTTGTAGATCTGAAAGCAGCAGATTAAACGATTTAAGTTTTGTTTTTTCAGTTTAATTTTTAAAGATTTGCCATCGTTTAATATCCAGAAAGCAGCCGACAAGCAAACTGCAGTCTGGAGATTATAAAAAACAGTAGGTTTTGATATTTTATATCAAGTCAGTTCATTTTGTTACAAAATCATTACTTGGATCGCAATATAAGCAGTGCTTTAAAGGGCCTTATTTTAGAAACAACATATGAGCATGTTTATGGTTTCATCACATTGTCACCACATCAAAAGCTTCATAGAAATCCATCTAAAAACATCTCCTTTAGTCTTAACCAGTATGGCCAGCTAGATGACCTTCAGACTCATCCATTGTTGATTGTATGGCTTATTCTCAATTTCAATATCAGCTGGCAGATCGAGCACGTCTCGCTGTCAGTATTTTCTATTAGTAGTCACTAAACATTTGCATAAAGTTGAACTCTGCTAATCTCTCTGGCATCTTCAACGGTCTCTGTCACTAACGTCACCTCTCATTCAAAATAAATGACTTCTAGTTGCCTTGTTGCCTCAGTGTGAACATGTAAGGCATGTGGCATGCAAGGAAAATGCATTTTTGTCTCGTTTATACAGTTCACTGTCAGGCTACTATGATCAGGTATTGCCTCAAGCGAAACACAAAAACACTCAGCACTTTGTCCTAATCCTTTGTGGAACTTGCTGTAATGCCAAAATAAATGCAAAATGCTTTGGATCTGTGTTCCCTAGAGAAGATTGAGTGGGATCAGGTGCATATGATGTGATATATATCTATATTTGTCTTAGTTTCTCAGGGATTTCTCAGAATATGCAGCGATTAGCCAATGCCTGTCACACCTGCTCCAAACACAGTCCTGCAACAGCTTGATTGTTGACTCTCGCGGAATATTTGAACCCAGAAACCTGATTCGACTTATGTTTGGGTGTAATATGAAACTTGACAAGACAGTTAACAATAGGAGGACATTTATGGATGCCGTTCTCCTTTTGTTTTTATTAAATAGATGGATTAGACTGTGTTTGCTGCGATAGGACATCTGCGTTTCACTAAGTGCCCTAGGGTGTAGATTTGTTCAGGAAAGAAGACATTAGTAGAAATATACACTGTTTGTTTGTTTGGGCCTGGGGTATGATTTTTTTTTTTTTTTTTTTTTTTTAGGAGTTCATGTGTGAAATGCTGAAACTCTTTGGTAATTGATAGGATTTTTAGGGATCACCAAGCACATCATTACAGAAACTTAAAATTTTCGACTTTCTACAGCAATTAAAAGTGCTAAATGGCTATTAATTGTTAAATTGTTCATCAGAGATACTAATATATACCTTATATAATGAGAAAAATTAGACTAAAGATGAGGAAACACATGCATTGAATACAATCACAACTGTGGGTGAACTTTTGGGATATTTTTAAAGTATTTTATTTCTAGAACATTCTAGATATCTCTAGCAGGTCAGATATAAACAAGTGTATAAATAGTTTATACTGAATATCAAAAGCTATGTGGAAAAAATATATAATTTCGGGTTCAAGTTTGTTACAGCAAGCCAAAATGTGCAGCTTCAGCTTATGCTCCTAGAGCTCTTTGTCGAGATTTATGTCTAGATAGCATGCTATGTTGCTTGCATACACAAGGTATTCTTATCATATGTTAGATCTTACTGTCCAAGTCAAAGGTTTTTCATTTAACCGCAACCAAACCAGTGTTGCTAGTTCTGTAGAGACTAGATGAGCAATTAGCAAACATTTAAATATGGACAGCTATTTTGGGGGGATTTACAAAATTTTTGTGGCAAAAAATAAAAATTTTGCCTATTTACTAAACTAGTATTCTGATAATAACTTACAAAATTAGTAAATTAAGTTCACCCATAGGTTGTGCTTCATCTGTAGTAAAAGGGAAATTGCTGTATCTATATGAATAATGGGTCCCACTTTATATTAAGTGTCCTTAACTACTAAGTACTTGCATCAAAAAATAAATACAATGTACTTACTGTGTTTATAATGTATTTGAGAACACTTGTGGTGCTCTTGAGTTGGGATAGGGGTTGGGTTATGGACAGGTTTGGTGGTGTGGGTAGGTTTAAGGGTGGGTTAAGCTGTAGTGAATGGTCAGCAGTGTATTTAAAAATGTAATCACAGAAGTTAATTACAGATTTAATTACATACAGGTATTTAATCAAGCATAAGTACACAATAAAATAAATACATGTATTTACACAATAAGTACATTGTAACAAACTTAAAATTAAATCCTGTGTAAGTACATATTAGTTAAGGCCACTTAATATAAAGTGGGACCGACTAATGTGTTGATGTTGTTTCGTTATAAATCTCTGACCTCTTATAATCACACAGGTGCTTGAACCTTAATAATTAAAATGTTAATATTTTTAATTATTATCGCACTTTAAATAACTATTTTCTAAAAAAAAAAAAAATACATTTTAAAATGTGATTTATTAGCATGATTAATTCAGTCTTCTGCTTTACATGACCTTCAGAAATCATTCTAAAAAGTGAAACAGTTACATTAGGACAGCTATAATTAGCTATAATTGGGCGATTTACAATATGTTTATGGCCAATAATACAAAAAAGCCAGGTTCAGCCTATTTACTAAACCAATATTTGGATCATGATTTGCAAAATTTGTCAATTAAGTTCACCCATTAAATGCTGTATCTCTATTGATTTATTTATCACTGATTATAAGTCTATAACCACACATGTCTAGGTGCTTGAACCTTGATAATTGCTGACTGCAGTTTTTTTTTGTTTCATTTACGAGTGTCCCATACTCACAGCATTTAATTGTTAAAAAAAACATTAATATTGTAATTGTTGTTGCACTTTTCAGCATGATTACTTCAGTCTTCAGCATCACATGGGCCATTAGAAATCATTCTAATTTCCTGATTTGCTGTTAAAATTCTAATTTGCTGTTAATATGTCTGTGTACACAGTATTACTGAATGAAAAGTGGGAAGTTAAAAATAACAGTTGGTTTAAAATAGAAATCTTCTGCAGTCGAATATTAGCTTACACTTGCTGAAAAAACAACTCACAAGTAGAGTTACACATTTGGCTGCTCTTCTTTGACATCCACTTTTCTTTTCTTCCCACAGTTTATTGACAGTAATGATGAGAATGACGGATACGTGGACACGGATGAGGAAGTGTCCAATGGTAGAGTGCATCTGCTAAATGGAAGTGGGCCTCCTTATTTCCACAGCTACCTGTACATGAAAAGTGAGCATTTCTTATTATTCAATTTATGCCTACATCTCTGAAACTGAATATAATAATGGTTAGCCTGAATTAAAAGATTAACATGTCACTGCTTCTCATCTTTAAGGTGGGCTGATGATCCCGTGGCGCAGGCGCTGGTGTGTTTTGAAAGACGAGACCTTCATGTGGTTCAGGGCGAAGCAGGACTCTCTTAAGTCAGGCTGGCTCTACAAGAAAGGTGGAGGAATGTCTACTCTGTCCCGGAGGAACTGGAAGATGCGCTGGTTTGTCCTTCGTGACTCCAAACTCATGTATTTCGAGAATGACAGCGAGGAGAAACTGAAGGGAACCATTGACATACGAGCAGCCAAGTAAGAACTACAGATGTTGGGTTTACTGTTTTCAACAGTACATACAAGACCAATTAACAAAGTTCAGATTACATTGTACTGGTTCATTGGTGACATTAGCTGTGTTTCCATCCACATATTTTTATGCACATTTTGCATATGCACATAAAAAATGGTTAATGGAATGCCAAGATGCACATAAATTGAATGTAGGATAAATGTTTTATTTGATAAGAAAAAAAATGCACATAAACTACGATGGAAACCCTTTAAATAAACAAGTTCCAGTATGCCAGTATTCCACCTTTAAATGGAAACATAGCTACTGTTTATTCATTAGTAAATACATGTACTTTCAATAGAGTATTGATAGATTGGTTAGGGTTGATAGAAAAGCTACTTTACACAGCCAAACTATATAATCTTAGCTTTATTTACAATGTCATAACAGTGTAATTACAATGTAACAACAAAGTAGTTACATCCAAGATAATAGTTTATTACATATCACATGTATACTGTGCATATGTATATAGCTATATAACACAAATTCATAAAATATATAAAAAGAAACATTTACAATACTATCAATGTTATTACAATGTTATTACATAGTAATTCTAATGTAACTACATAGTAATTACATATGTATTGCATATATTTACACAATACATAATTATATACATAAATACTGTACATGAAATACACAAAGAAACATTTAAGTTATAAATATTATCTTGGATGTAAATACAATGTACAAGCAATGTAATTACAATGTAATGAAATATTAATAAAGCTTGTGATTACATTTGTACTGTGTATATTTACGTATACAACTATAAGTAACCAAATACTATACATGCAACATACAAAGAAACATTTATATTTATAAATATTATTTTGGATGTAACTACAATGTTATTACAATGTATAAACATAGTAGTTACAATGTAATGACACAGTAATTGCACAATAACAGTTTGTAATTACGTATTACGTCTCAGATGTAATTACAATGTTATAACAATGTACTTACAAGTTCAATACATCCAAAATAAAAGTTTGTAATATATCTTGAATAATGTTAGAAAACAGCAGCCATCGACTTGGGTTATATTTTTACTATGTACTATGTATGTCAATGGCTGCTGGTTTTCTAACATTCTTTGTGTTCAACAGAAGTGTATGAAGGCAAGGAAAGCCCAGACAGCAGCTGAAATCTCCCAGTAGTTATTCAGCCCTTCCTCATTCTAAATTAATATTAGCTGTTTCAGTCCAACATCTTAATTAGCAGGATGATGAAGATCTTTCAGCAAGACAATGTTCCAAAGCTCTCAAATGATCAAGCTGTAAATCAAGAAAATCAAGCTGTAGAATGGCCCAAACAATCACCTGACTACTTTTTTTCCCTGCTGTATACTAATACCCTAAAAAGATTTTGGTTTCATGCAGTTTCCTGTAGTCCGTGGTATGTCTTTAAAAAATAAAATGTTACCACTGTTTCCATATTTTGGTTTACATTCGTCCTCGAAACATTCAAATACTGATGGTCTGTGATGATTCACACAGGGAAATTGTGGATAACCATGAGAAGGAAAATGCACTGAATATTGTAACTGAAGACAGGACCTACCAGATCTATGCAGAATCTCCTGAGGATGCTAGGTAAGGTGCAAGTCTGCGTGTATTTTAGTGCTGTTGTGAGTTTATTCAATGTAGTTGACCTTCATAAATTGCGCCCTCTTGTGGTGGCTTATGTAACTTTTTTGTTGATTAATACATTAACATAATTTAATAAGGTCTGATATTTCATAACTCAATTGTTCATTAAAGGAATAAGTTCACCCAAATCATTTACTCACTCTTGATTTGACTCAGATGTTATTCTGTCTGTTAAATGCAAAAGATAATCTGATGAAAGCTGGAAATCCGTAACCATTAACTTCCTTACTCTTTGTTTTTCCTACTATGAATGTCAATAGTTTCTTTAAAATAGCTTTTTTGAGGTCCAGTATATAAAAGGGTGACTATTTTGGGTGAACTATACCTTTAATAAATGAACCGGGTCTGATATTTCCTGTCCTTGATGTTTGTATTGCAGTGGCTGGTTCAATGTGTTGAGCCGTGTTCACAGCGCCACTCCAGACCAGCTTCTGCAGATGCAGCATGAGCAGGCCAACCCTAAAAATGCAGTCGTAAGTGTTCAAACTAGCTGTAGAAATCACTTTCAACAAACTTTTGCATTTTTACATGACATTTTTATGTAATGTTTAACCTTAGGGAACACTGGATGTTGGGCTTATCGACTCTGTATGTGCCTCTGACAACCCAGACAGGTAATACATTACATCAGGAATGTTAAAGGAACACTTGACCCAGAATTGAAATGTCATCATTTACTTGCTACACACTTTTTCAAACATGTTTAGGTTTCTTTCTTTTGTCGAACACAACGGAAGACATTTAATTTGGAGAATTTTGGAAACAAAAATTCTCATCCACAGTAGGAACAAAAAAATATGATTGTACTATTTTTCAACATTCTTCAGAAAATTGAGTTCAACGGAGGAAAGAAATTAATAAACATTTAGAACGCCTCTAGTAGAGTGTGTTGTGACTATCCTTAATCAAAATTTCATATTAGTCACATCTTGGATCTGCTGAGGGGTTTAGCGGCTTCCTTAGAGATAGTAAATGGAACGACAAGTTTTCATTTGTTGCTGTTTATTATAGAGCTGATTTGATCCTAAAACTGATATTATATGAACAAAATCAGAAACTTTGGCCACCAAACACTGAAAGTAAGATCTAAAGACCATGTGCTCTCAGCAGGCCCTTCTCCAGTCTGCCACACCCAGGCCTTTTATGCTTCCTCTGGCCCAATGCAGAAATGTTTATTTTTGTGTGAACTTCAAGCATTATTTTAGAAACATAACATTTCAAATATGTTATACTATTTATAACACTTTATGGTAAGGTCTCATTTGTAAAGCTCTCTTTACAAGGTCTCATTTTTAGCATTAGTTAATGGATGAAGTAATATTTAAGTTTATGTTTTACCAGCCTGATCTCACGAAAAAAACATAAGTATTTTACGTTTAGTAAGTTTAGTGGCTAATTCATACGAATTCGTACAAGTTCAGTTGTACAAAATTGTACGATTTTAAAAGGAGGCCTGGCACCTAACCCCACTCCTAAACCCAATCATCATTGGGAGATGAGCAAATCGTACTAAACTGTACGAATTAGATCTTACGAATTCATACAAATTAGCAACTAAATCACAAAGTTACCAATTGCCGTGAGATTTTGTTGATTTTACAGCATTCATTAACTGTTATGCTGTGCACAAATTACACAATACCATCCAAATTATTTTAGAATCTATTTGACACTCTATAGGGTGACATGTTGATTCATGAACAACAATAAACACAAGAATTGATCATTATTTTCTCGTATACTGTGTTGGGGATGACTACCAATCATCTGGTGTGCGCCACATCATTCTGACCAATTTTTTTGGTCCTCTACTATGATGCGACACATTCGTGACACTGATTAATAAGAGATCAGATGCTAATTTTTTAACTTTTCTGACATCAAAACATTAGCATTAACAATGTTTAAGAATTATGTTTTGTTAACGTTCATATTGTTAATGTCCTCTATGCTTTGTGCATTGAATTTCAGATAAATAGCTACATTTATTAGTTCCATCAAAACACATGGGAACAATGTCTTTTGTTTTGATACTCTGTGATTTAATGATTGCGCAGTGCTGTACTCACAACATTTGTTTTCTTTAAGGCCAAACTCATTTGTCATAATCACTGCTAATCGTGTGATACATTGCAACACTGACACGCCGGAGGAAATGCACCACTGGATCGGCCTCCTGCAGAAGCCTAAAGGAGACTCCAGAATAGACGGCCAGGAGTTCATAGTGAGAGGTGAGTCAGTCATATAAAGATGTACTTACTGCATCATTTTCAAGCATTCTAAAAACGATTATTTATGGTACTGTTTAAAAGTTTGGGATCAATATTTTTGTTTGATAAAGAATAGATGCTTTGATTCAGCATTGATGCATTTAATTAATCAAAAGTGATAGCAAAGACATTTTAATGCTGCACAATATTTATTTGGGCAAAGCGGTGGCGCAGTGGGTAGCACGTTCGCCTCACAGCAACGTCTGAGTCAGTTGGCATTTCTGTGTGGAGTTTGCATGTTCTTCCTTTTTTCACGTGGGTTTCCTCTGGGTACTCCGGTTTCCCCCACAAGTCCAAAGACATCTGGTACAGATGAATTTGGTATGCTAAAATTGATCGATATGAGTGTGAGGGTGTATGTGATTCCCAGTGATGGGTTGCAGCTGGAAGGGCATTCGCTGCATATAACATACTAAATTATTAACATTTGACTGATATCTGAAAGATTTACAATGAAAACTGGAGTAATTGTGATGACAATTCAGCTTTGAGTAACATAAATAAAATGCATTTTAAACTTTATTTGAACAGTTTTTTGAAATGTACAAAAGTATTGTTTTTACACTGCAAAAAAAAAAAACTTTTTTACTCTTGTTATTTTGCTTACCCTGTTGACATTACTTTAAAAACTCTCTTTTATTTCTTAAAACACACCTATTATTTCTTAAAACAAAAAAGTTTTCCTTGTCTAGAAAACGTTTCTTGATTTAATAATTTTTAGATTGCACTAGAAGCAAGACAAAAAAATCAACTAACAAACAAAAGATATTCAAAGATTAGTGTATCCGCCGATTCAAATGTTGTCAGTGGTTATCAGCTGATAGATTTGGGCCAGTAGGAGCCTTCTGCACCTACTAGTAGACTCCAAATGCTGTTATCAGTTATCATTCAACCATTAACATGGTTAATCAGCTGTAGATCACATATGGCTGCAGCCAGAAGTTAACGAGAATTATTTATTCTAATTATTAAATTTCCATTAATTGTATTTTATTAAGGTCTACCCTTACCCCAACACTAAACCCAACCGTCACAGTAATGTAAAAACAGATCTGGAGTCTTCTCTATTAGTATAGCTGATTAACCTTTGTGGATGGATGAGGCGCAGAAGGCCCCTACTGGCCCATATCTATCAGCTGATAACCACTGATAACACCCATTCAATCGAGTAATAACATTTAAAGCAAGTGAGTGTGTACTGTACGTTTGCATATAAGAGGTCCTTAAACAATTAATCTCTTTTGGTTTTTTATGGTTTCATCATGGATTGAGAACGCCCTTTTGACCCTTGTCCATTTTTAAAAAGAAAACCTAATATATTAATATTGACTATTAATTAAATCAGCATTTGAATATTGTTATGTATACTAAAATGCACACAGGAGAAGTTTCTTTGTATATATTCTTAATTGATTATCCTTTCTATGTCCTTCAACCAGGCTGGCTGCATAAAGAGATGAAGTCCAGTGGGAAGAGCACATCTCTTAAGCTGAAGAAACGCTGGTTTGTTCTGACCAACAACTCACTGGATTATTATAAATCATCAGAGCGCAGTGCGTCCAAACTGGGAACACTGGTGCTCAACAGCCTTTGCTCGGTTGTTCAGCCTGATGAGAAAGTCTACAAGGAGACAGGTGAGTCATTCTATTTTGAGGAAGAACAAGGTTTGGTCCCACTTTATATTTGGTGGCCCTAACTATTATATACATACATTTAAAAAGAAATATAATGTTCTTACAGTGTTAATAGTGTATTGCAGAACACTTCTGGTGCTTTGAGGTGGGATACAGGTAGGGTTAAGGACAGTTATGTTGGTAACGGTTGGTTTAAGAGTAGGTTAAAGATAGTCAACGATGTAATTACATGCAGGTATTTAATCTACCATAAGTACAATTTTAAAACACAATAAATACATTGTAACAAACTATTAATTGCAATTTAAGCACATAATAGTTAAAGCCACCTAATATCAAGTGGGACCCAAGGTTTTTTAGTGAAACAATGGACAGTTTTCAAAGCCTCTGCTTCACCACAGGTTACTGGAACATAATAGTTCATGGAAGAAAGCATTCTTACCGTCTCTACACCAAACTACTGAACGAAGCCATGAGGTGGGCTTCAGCCATTCAGGTGGCCATTGACAACAAAGTTCCCATTGAAACACCGACCCAGCAACTCATCCGAGATATCAAGGTGTGTTTACTATACAGTGTCTAATCACATTTATGGTCCCGTGTGGAGGAAGGTTTTTCATCATCTTGATAATCATGTTTCAGTTGTTGAAGCCGATACCGCTTGAGCCCCGGCAGTCCCTCAGAGTCAAAAACTGTAGTGTTAAGTGAGGTACATTGATGAGTGCTCTGTGTGCTGTTTTCTCTTCCTTTTTTCATTTCATTCTGGGTTCGTTTCATTATATCTGGGTGCTTCAGTTCTACATTTGCGGTGTGTTTTCCTGGAGTGATTAAGAACTGTTCAGTTGCATCATTTTTATTACGAAGAATACCAAAATTCTTCTGGGTTTGGAATAACATGAAGATAAAAAAAAACAATGACAGTCTTTTTCAAGCACAAGGCTCATTGGAAATATATGCTTCAGCATATTCTTTGTGAAACCACAAACACTTACTTTATCATAAGGTAAAATGACTAGGTTAAATGAATGCTACACTACCACTTTTGTTCATTTTTACACAAATGGTAGTTTCCAAAATCATATTATCGAAGAACAAAGAATTATTATCATGAATTTTTTGCAACCCAGGTTCATTCTGAAAACGTAGTCCCGTGGACGTTTCTGGAGAACGCGAAACACGTCCCGGGAGGTACATATTTTTGCAGTTTTTTTTTTCTGCAAATCCGTGAGAGGCCGCTGTGTGCGCTTTTTCGTATCTCGAATGTATCTCTTCTCGCAGAAACCCACCAGAGGCCGCTGTCTGACTGACTGAATGATTGACTGTGCGACCGGCCAGTCGGCTGACCCACCCTCCTCCTTCCCTAAACCAAACCAATTTTACCGATTGACCCGCCCACCCGCTCACTTCCCCTTAACCCGAGCAACAATTTAGAAAAGCCGTCTAAGAAAAAAAAAGCCCTCGTCTGATTTTTTTACCACGTTTTCGGATTTCACTGAGTTCTCACCCTGTTATGAACTCGTTCACTTTATTTTTTGGATTCTGTTTTTGTCTTACCTGATTTCTATGACTGCTCTTCCCTGGACTCAATCCCGGTCGCCGTGGTCAGCTCCTCCTCTCTGCATCTGAAGTCTGCCGACGTATACGATGAGCTGACTGGACAAACTGGTTGTGGGGGGAAAGCCCTCCCCATGGAGGTAAGCGGTCAGCGGGTAAGCGGGAAAGGGAACAGCGTCATACCGCCCCTTTAGCGTTCGCTTAAAAAAAATGAAATGAAGCCATACGGACCTCCCGGGATGTATTTCGCGGTCTCCAGAAACATCCTAGGGACTATGTTTTCAGAATGAGCCTGGGTTGATTTTTTTGTACAACACCAAATAAATACCAAAAATTGTGTACTTTGTAATGGAATGTGTTTGCCTCCCATTTCATATAATCAACCTTTCTGGCATAGTGATTTTGGTCAATAGCTCACTTTGTATGGTATTGTGTTTTGATGAAGAGTACTTGAGTCTGGTGAAGCAAAGTTCCACAAAACAGATAAAAGCACTTTACTCTTACGTTTGATTTTGAAAGCTCTATTGGTTGGGTTTAGGTCAGTGGTTCACTGTGACATCTGTATGACAAGCCCCTCCATCATGTGGTTGTGTAAAAGGAGAATGTGTATCTCAAACATACAACAAACGAACCCTAAGTATCATATTTGGGTTAGCAAAAATGTAATTTTGCAGAGTAGAATTTGTCATCTGAAAAATGCAATAAAACTTACCTGGAGCAAAGTTTCTCAAAAGTGTAGGCAGAAGTTCATTAGTCCAATGAGCCTGCCCAGTTGCACAGGGTTAGGGTCTAACTATAACCATGGTCTTTAAACACATGTCATGGCTTTCTTAAAATCAATCTGATGTTGTGTTTTGAGAGTATTTGGGACAGCATATAAAGGTTTTCCCTTCTAAAATTAGGGGTCATTAGCAGCAGCTCATTTGCATTCAACGTGGCACAGAAAAACGTGATTTTGCTTCCACTCTACAGCCTGCTATAATCATTTATATGGGGTATTTTTAACTTTTTGACAGGTGTCCAAGACACATTCAGGACACCTATAAAGAGACTTATTTTGCCAAAAAAAAAAAAAAAGCATAATAAATCAAAAACTCCTTTTAAGGGAAGAATGCTTGTAAGCAAAGGTCTAATCAAGTAAAAATTAAATTGTATTGCGCTATATAAATGTAAAGTGAAAAGCATTCATTTTATTGTTAAACTTGTAAGTGAGGAAACAATGTTGAGAAAAATCCTGATTCTGATTCTGCATTCATCAGGGGTATGTATCCCAAAACCATTGTTAGCCAACTAAGGTCGCAAGTTCTGTCGTTACAAATATAGTTTGTTTATTTGCTGTTTCCCAAATCCATCGTTCAAACGAACAGTTGCAAACTCTTTGCAAACTTGTGCACTTGCAACTACACCTCTGAAGCTGTGGTTAGAAACATGGCTGTGTGGTTGTTCCTGGCTGTGTTCTATTCCCAGTTACTCCCCCTATTTAGAATGTTCCAACATTTAAACTTGGAATGATTTAAAATAAAAAAAGCATTAAAGGCATCATTCTTAGTTGTAATTTGCTTTCAAAGTATTTTACAGTTCTGTTTTAGCGTACTTCATGTTTACAATTACACTCCCTTCGCAGTGCACTTTGAAAACATTGATGTCATTTTGAACACAACCTCATGATGAAAGCTATAGGTGACCTGTTATTTAAAAGTGGAATTTATGTTACGTCTCCAAAGCTTGTGAAAACGAAAAAAACATAGCATACGCTAATGTTTTTAATTTATTCATGTATTAAAGGTTATTTATTAAATATCTATATGACATGGGCCTGTTGGTTAGAACATTTCTGCAGTGGTTTGCATGTGTGAACCTGTAAAAGTAGACTTTTAAAATAAATACAATTCAAATAGATAAACAATAACCTATTTTAATAATAATAATTATTATTATTTATATTATTAATATTATTATTAAAGTAGGACTTTTTTCATTGCCTAATAAATATAAAATTTCATTTTTAAATAAATTGCCTCAATATTTATTTATTTATTTATTTATATGATTTATATATGATATTAAAATACGCGTTAGCTTTTGTAAGTGATTTTATGTTTATTTAGAATAGAATATGTAATGTTCTCAATAATATTAGCAAAGGAAACACAGGCCCTATATGTGCCATTTACTTATATTTCAGTTAATATGGAAAGCGAGTGCATGTTTTTATCAAAACTAATATTGAATTTTTTTTAAATGCGTGTTTGTGTAAAACAACATAATTTGCACAAAGAAATTATAGGGTTTTTCTCTATAACAGTTGTTACTCCACCCTGTAAAGAGCTTTGGAAAACACTCGTCAATACATCGTTCTTTTCTCAAACAAAGCATCGTACTATGATAGTTCAGCTGCAATTTACGTTGTTGTTTGGGAAACGCACCCCTGGATAGTTGAGGGTTAATCAGCTAGTAAAGAAAAAGGCGATAAATGGGTCAAGGAGGTATTTTATTCTCTTAGTTTCTCAGGCATTACTTTTTCATGCAATGTAAAAACATCAAAGCTTGTTTTTTGGTCTTTATTTGTGTGCTGTGTTTCCTCTCCAGAGATCGGTGGATGTGTATTGTGCTACTGTATGTGAGTGTATAAATGCCCTAATGCAGTGATTGTTTTGGTGGTTGTGCAGGAGAGCAGTCTGAATGTGGAGGCTGTGGAGCAGATGTACTGGAGGAACCCCATCCTGAGATACACACAGCACCCGCTGCACTCGCCCCTGCTGCCCCTGCCATACGGAGAAGTCAACATCAACTGTGAGCCTCCATTTTACCCTCATCTGCTCCCATGTTTGCTCTTTAATGAGTGTTAAACGTTATTGGTTAAACACAGTCAGTGTTCTTGCTGTAAGTTCAAAGTTATAACTAAGCTATAGACAAAGATAAAGCATATATGATAATTATAATTAATTTAGCAAGTGAGATAATCATCATCATCATGTATACACAACCAGGTCCATGATGACCCAATCAAACATGTTTAGCATTTAATTAATTGAAGTATGTATTATTTTAACAACATACAATTGAAATGTTCACTGTTTTTTTATTCGTATTTAAGTTGTTGGATTGGGATTGGTGGAGTGATGAATTTCATCTTTTTCTCCATCTGTCTCTTCTCCCTGTCCTGCTTCCTGCAGTGCAAAAAGAGAAAGGCTACACCAGCCTGCAGGATGAGGCAGTCAAGATCTTCAACTCATTACAAGAGATGGAAGCCGTGTCTGATCCGATGCCCATTATTCAAGGCATCCTACAGACCTGTCAAGATCTGCGGGCGCTCAGAGATGAAGTCTACTGTCAGCTGATCAAACAGACCAATCACGTGCCTCAGCCCAACAGCCCTGCCAACCGCGCACACTGGCATCTGCTCACCTGTATGAGCTGCACCTTCCTGCCCAGCCGCGGCATCCTCAGATACCTCAGATTCCACCTCAAAAGGTGCCCTTTTACTACTTGAAAATTCATATGCTTGTTAAATAAAGATTTTCTGGTGCATCCGCTTTCAAACATAACAATGGGGATGTTAGTTACACATCCTGGCTTTGTCATGGGTGGATGAAAACTGTAAATGACAAAGGCTGTTTCTCAACTGCAAGATTGCAGAGAATGTACTTGTGTTCTTGTGGAGACCATTCTTGCCAGGTTACCTCTGGAAAATGAACTCGTGAGGCTGCGAAAACACAGAACGTGTCCTCTGAGGAATAAGATGCTGCGTTCTTTCTGATGGTCACGTGACCTGCATGCGTTTTTAATGGAGAGTTATTTAAACATTACAGCATCCATACAATGCTTTGTTGTCATTTTTTTCATTTTCAATATATGTAACATGCATAAAAACCTTACAAATACACGTTGCACAATACAAATGAAACAATAATATACAAATTTGAGCAAATATACACCCTTAATGTGATTATGTCTTTATTAAGATTTTCTTTCGGTTTACTTTAACCGTCTCATTTAGGGAAACCCCTGAGATAAATAAATGCTGCGCTTCCCACCTTCTTTTTTGCAATGACTTCTGGGACTTCTTGAGCAAGTTTTGCTCTCAAGTCTGCATCAGTGCATCCTCGACATTAAGAACACATCCATATTAAGAAAGCATCCACTTTCACGTGTCCTCTGTTCTTGCAGTCTTGAGTTTTGAATTAAACTTTGGCGGGTAATCATGACATTAGACAAGAACAGTAGGACGCAAGAACGAAAAAGCATGCATTTTGAGAAACAGCGAGAATAAAAGTCAGGATAAAGCATTGAGTTTGCTAATGACATTCTAAGCAACAGTATTGTAGGATTAATCATATAGCATTTTTTTATTTATTTTATTTTTAAATTGTATTTATTTGAGTTTTATTCATTTCTTAAAATTCCAGTGCTCAAACCTTTATGAATTTCTTTATTCTGTTAAACACACACACACACACAAAAAACTATATTTTGTAGAAATCTGAAAACCATTGACTTTCATCGTAGGAAAAACTGCTATGAAAATGATCAAGTAAATGATGAGTAGATGATCACAGAATTTGAATTTTTGGGTGAATTATGCCTTTAATTTTTAACAATAACTAATAGATCTTAAAAGTTGTTAATCAATTTATCCCATTAATCTTGCATTATTTTAAGCTATTTTTAAAACAGTCATATTTAAAGCGTAATTTGTACAGGAAAAACAAATTTTCCCATGATGCTGTGCACAACAAAGTAAAGCAACAAGCGAAGTTCACTTCCGTACACTCTCAACAACCCTATGTTCACCAAAAATGTTTTTATATAATTGTTTTTTTAGAGACAACTAAAATATTAAATAAATAGTTTTATATTTGGTCTTAATTTTTAATGTTAGTGTGCATTGCTTCATGAGATTAAAGTTATTTACCTCATTATGTTTTTTTTTTCTATTTCATAACCATATATACCCCATAAAATGGGTTGTGGCTTCCCCTGCGTAAAAACTTGCTGGTTAAGTTGGCGGCTCATTCCGCTGTGACCCCGGATTAAAAAAAGACTAAGCCTATATATATATATATATATACAACTTTTATTTATAGTAGCAGTATAGTATACAGCAGAATGATTTCACTTAAGAGAATGTACATTTCCCATTGCCAAACTTTTTTCTTTTTTACAAACTATAAAGTAACAGAACACAATAAAAAACAAATGTTGTATAAAATTAAGTATATAAAAAATAACATTAACAATTAAATGGTAGCATAATATCAATAACTAAATATACATAGGTTAGAGAGGGTTGAATCTTTATTTATTCTTTCAACTTTAGTTATTATCAGCTGAAAATTCCTAATCTAAAGAGAAAATAAGAGGGGGAGTGCAATGGGCCATCATTAATGATAATTTTAAACAAATATTACATTTTTAACGTGATAAATATATCTTAATTTTAACTTCATTTCATAGTTTTAGCTAACAACACTGATTCTGAGCACAGATAATTTTGCATTTGATAACATTAATATTTTTGTTCTCATTCGTTTTTAGGATAAAGGAGTTGTTCCCTGGAGCAGAAATTGAGATGTTCGCTGTGTTCATTGGTGATTCACTGAAGAAGACAAAAGCACGGGAGTTTGTGCCTTCACAAGAGGAGATCATCGCCCTCCTGAACAGACGTGAGATGACAACCACTGTTTACTGCCACGGTGGAGGATCCTGCAAGATTTCAATCAACTCTCACACTACAGCAGGAGAGGTGACTAACAAAATCTAATCCACAGCTTAACTCAAAACATACAATGATGAAAGAGTTTTAAAAGAATACTCCACTTTTTTTGGAAATAGTCTCATTTTACAGCCCCCATCCCATAGTTTTAACAGTTAAGTTGTACCATTTTTTAATCCATTCAGCCGATCTACCTATTTGAGGTAGGCACGGTTAGCTTAGCTAAGCTTAGCATAGATCACTGAATCAGATTAGACCATTAGCATGTTGTTCAAAAATTTTAAAAAAAAAGTTGACTCTCCTCTATTTACTAGAGTAGTAATCAAGGAACATTGATGCAGTACCGTGGCTGCAGCAGGCAAAATATTATGCAGGGCTATTTTCTAGTTGCCTAGCTAGGGAGAATTTTCAGGTGCTGCGAAATGACATTTTCTTTCAGTCTTAGAACATGATGCAACAACTGAAGAGTGAAGATTTAAATAAGAAAATGATCACAACCTCCTTTTTTTTGGAGTGAGATGCTAATGGTTTAATTCAATGATTTATGCTAAGTGCTCCCAGCAGACCTGGAGATCAGCTGAATGGAGTCAATAATGGTAAAACTCGACTGTTTAACTATATGTGACCTGTAAAATAAGCTAATTCCAAAAAAAAAAAAAAAAAGTTTCATTAAGAGAGAAAACACATATTAGCTAACTCAGAATTGCATAATTTTGCAGACAAATGAAATCATTAAAGTAACTGCATTCATTTATACAATTATAACACACATTTAAGGGGGAAATGTGATCTACAGAGAACAGAAACCCCTGTGGATCAACAAATCTTGACTAGATGGCTCATGCAAAAATGTTTTATCTCATTTTTTTTGTGTAGGTGGTAGAGAAACTAATCCGAGGCTTGGCTATGGAGGACAGCAGGAACATGTTTGCTTTGTTCGAGCATAACAATACCATCGACCGTGCCGTGGAGAGCAGGGTGATTGTGGCAGATGTGCTGGCTAAGTTCGAGAGGTAAAATTTCACCAAGCTGCATCTATTCACTCACAGAAAGTGCATGTGTTGTTATTAAAGGAATAATGCACCAATAATTAACTGCACACAGAAATAAATGTTTTTCATTGTGATTGTTTTTAGGCTGACAGGAAGTGAGCTGGAGGAAGACGGCCCATGGAAGTTGTACTTCAAACTGTATTGTTTCTTGGATGTGGAGAGCATGCCCAAGGAAGGAGTGGAGTTTGTCTTCATGTTTGAGCAGGTCAGTAATTTAATTCAGTTAGTTATACTTGGAGAATCTAGACGTTGTGTTTCATATTCATCCCTTTATTTGAAATACAATTAAAAAGCTTTAGTTAGCTATTACAAGACTGGATTCTGAGTAAAGAATAATTTTCAATGTTTTAACAGACTTTTGTAATACTATTTGTTGCACTCTTGCTTAACTTGTCTGAGTTCCATATGGATTTGCATTAAACTCATTTGTATACTGACAGTCTTTAGAAGCTTAGCTAAACCATGCTAACAATGCTCACATTTCAACTTTGTACTATTTACTTCACCTTTGTACTCCAAATTAGACCATACAGATGTATAATCCGTGGAAAAACGCATATCTTTCAGATTTTAGAGAAAGTAAAGTGTAATTCTTGTTCTCCTTAATCTTTCCAGGCTCATGAAAGTTTAATAAGCGGTCATTTCCCTGCGCATGAGGACACCCTCCAGCACCTTGCTGCTTTACGTCTGCAGTACCTGTATGGGGATGTGTCACGGGTCAACTGGAGCTTGGACAGCATCTACCCCACTGGTTGTCTGCGCAGCCGCATACTTCAATTCACCAAAGTAGGAGGTGCAGCTGGATCGGGACAAACCCTAGAAAGGAGGAGGACGAGCTTCCTGGATGGCACTCTGAGGCGGGGGCTGAAGACCGGCACCATGAAGAAGCAGCGCAGTATGCAGGAGGAACAAATGCTGGAAATGTGGATCAAGGAAGAGACTTCAGCCACCAGAGCCAGTATTATGGAAAAATGGAGTCGGCTGCATGGCCTGGATCAGCATCAAGCCATGGTCAAATACATGAACATCATCAAAGAGTGGCCTGGGTATGGGTCAACGCTGTTTGATGTAGAGGTAAGCATTGTAGATAAAATATTAGAATATGTGGGGGTTCTACTTAACGCTCAAAAAAGGCCAAAAGTGCCATAACATTTAGCATTAGAGTGTGTTTTAAATATACAAATAGTATCCAGATAACTCCTGTAGTCTCACGAGGTTTGCTAGTGTTTGATACAAAAAAATTTGACACTAGAGATGCCAGTTTGAATCCTGATCTTAAGTGAAGAGAGTAGAACTGGAGGGTTTACACTGGTGCCGTGACCCAGATCAGTGAGGTTTAGATGGGTGAGTGTAAAGAAGGCAAACTTTTAATGGCTGTGCTGTAGCATGAAATTAGCTCATTTTATGAATATTAATAATCAACAATAACGGTTTATTCTTAATTATTAATATTCCGGCTTAAGCTTCAGTCAGTTTGGTCAAACAAACATATGATTGTAAATGATCATGCTCGCGCGACCGAGCGGATTCCCAGATTATGAATATTAATTATCAACAATAACGAATTATTATTAATCATTAATATTCCGGATCAATTTATTGTCAATTTGACCAAACGAACACAAGCAGAGCCGCCGCTCTTCCGAGCGGACACTGTAATCTATTCATTTAGAAAAAGGGAATTTAATTGCTACTTCTTGTGAAGTAGATTAATCATTCAAAAGTTTTAAACAACTTATAATAGCTAGGCAGGGGAATCTGTATTTCAGTGACATTTTCTCGTGAGGCAAACAATACAATTCATTTGATTATAATGGAATTTATTGACTAGTCAGACGTAACGAACAAACAAACGCACAAACATACATTTAACACAGAACAAAGGTAAACCACGCGGAGATATCGGGTCTATAGAACGTGTAACAACAAAGAGAAATAGTAAAGCGAGGAGATAGAGATTTCAGATAAAAGAGTGACAAAACTTTCAGTTCCACCCGCACCATTAAGGACCACCAAGGTTATAAAAAACACCTTTTTGATAAAAAGGGGCACAGCTTAATCGCATAACTAAAATCACCTGGTTTTTCATGTCTGGAGGTCTCTCTTATGCGTCTCTCTTCCGTCGTGATGAAACTACTCTTGATGTCCTTTGATGCGTGGAGTTTGTAATGCAGTTCGGACGAACACGATCGCAAACTTTAAACTGAATTTACTTTACCGGAAAATAAAGAAAGCGTGGCGGGAAAAAGTCCATGCGGCTTAGAAAGCCACGTGTGGCCCGAGGGCCACCGTCAATGATGTTCCTTTTTGGGAAGTTCTCTTTCTGCCCAGATGTTTGGGGGAAAGTGTGCTTATACCTGCGGGTCACGTGACAACCCGTACAGCATTCTGACCAATGATTTCAGGGGAAAGTTTGCGCGCGAACCTTCCTTTGTCTCTGGGCTGCGCGTATGCAAATTTGAGCGCTCGCCTAAAGCATGCGGACAGGCATTTAATACAGGGCTTTAAAGAATAAAACAATGCGAGTTATGGTCTCGATCTATGCATCATGTGTTAAAAAATGTCGAGGGCATTCTATTGACACCAAACACTCTACAAGTACATCACATAGTTCCCATATCCTTACATCCTTGATGCTTTTAAAAAGGCCTGCAAGCGTGAAGGTGTATAGTCTATATCAGGTATTGTACACATTACAAAAGTTAAATGAAATTAAACAAGAGATTTGGGTTATAAATGTCTTTGTTTAATTTTGAGGAATGTCTTGTCTGTGAGCAGAATGTTGGCTAAAGAGTTTTTTTTCCTTTTCTTATCTTATCTGTCACGTTCTTTTGAAGTAGGCAGAGAGTGGTTCTGTGAAGTCTCCCAGACTTGTTAACATGTCACCAAGGGATTACCAAGCCAGACTTTTCGTCACCAAGTGATTTTATTGTCCTGGCGATTCACCCAGATTGTTTTCTGGAATGTTAAATGGAATGTTTATCTCCAGAATGCAGGTTACAATATGTTACAGTGCATTTAAACCTCTACTGGCCTCAAGAAGAAAACTAGCGACTCAAGCTAAATGTAGTGCTCTTTAAATCCATGTTAGGGTGTCCAGCTCACATTCAAGAGAGCCATTTTAAATCCCAATTGGGAAGAAGAGAGTAGAGCTAAAGGGGGGTTATATGGTTGGTGTCGTGACCCAGATGGTAGAGAGGGAAGTGTCCAGCAAGAAAGAGTTCCACAGGTAAATCTCTTTCTCCATTCTTGCTTTGACCCAGAGTTTTTAGGGAAGTGAGTGTATTGGAGGCATTTTAGTAAGAGTTGTACAGGTAATCCTCCCTCTCCTGGTCTAAAAAGGTGAGTCAGCAACTCATGCTATAGGCTACAGCCTTTAGCATCCTTGTTAGTGCTCTCAACCCACATGCTGGACTGAATCTCAATTGGGAGGAGTAGAACTAAAGGGTTTACATTAGGACTATGACACAGATGGGAATGAGGTGTAGGGGGTTGAATTTTAACTAGCATCTTATTGAAAGATCTGTATAGTATAGTATCTGGTCTAATCTGACAATTAATAGTCTAATCTTTATTCTGTGTGCAGTGTAAAGAAGGTGGTTTCCCTCATGATCTCTGGCTCAGCGTCAGTGCTGAGAACGTGTCTGTGTATAAAAGAGGAGAGGCCAAACCCCTGGAGACCTTCCCTTATGAGCACATTGTCTTCTTTGGTGCTCCTCACGCTAGTACATACAAGATCACAGTGGACGGGAGAGACATGTTCTTTGAGACACCTCAGGTAAGCAGATTGTTTTAAAGTAAACATTTTGTCATAGTTCATTTCACATCATGGACATCCAAAGCTAAGATTTTTTTTTTATCCAAAGCTAAGAAACCTGTGAAATTTCAGTCCCGCCATTTAAAGTTAAGTACGCAAAAAGGTTTTCTTTAGTTTCCTTCATCGTAAATAAACTATTTTTGTTCTTCTCAGGTTGGAGAGATAACCAAAATAATGAAAGCCTACATCAACATGATTGTTAAGAAACGATGCAGTGTCAGATCAGTGGCCAGCTTTGGGAGCAACTGGATCAGGTGATGAGTGCTGACCAATTACAGCAAGGACAAGATGGATTTCCTTCGGACTGATGGAAAGGAACTCAACTGGAGGGATGTGGATTGGCGAATATACAATTATGATACTGGAACCAATGAGAAGGCAAACTTTTAGACATCTGCATGTGTGTAGACAACCACCCCTTTACCAACTTATTATATCTGACATTTAATATGCAGTTATGTGGAATGTGGATATTGGACCAATGAGATTCCGCTAAGGGGCGGGATGTCAACAGAATGTCCTGTCAATCATCACAGCACTTGTTCTTTTATCCAGTAATATCTGATTAGTATGCTTCTCAAAGCTAGTTAACCAGCAGATGTTTATTGCAATACCTCAAAGTCCCGAATGCTTCTTGTGCTCCTGGTTTTCTGATTATTAGTTGCTCTTTGCAGTGACCAGATCAAAACAGGTTCTTAAATGTTACACACGAAACAATGTTATGTTGAGAGCTTTCAAAGACTAATAGCCTAAAGTGATTGCACACGTCGAAAGTGTCAACAGCCATGTTAAAACTTGTCCGTTTGCCTTACTCCACACAAGGGCTGCTCTGTGCAGATTTGCGTCATTTAGACGGCTTTCTGTTAATCTGTTACTGAACCTTCGCTCAGGTTCCTAAGGTTGAGAGAATGATGAAATGTTTTTCTGCCTTTACGTCTTGCCGTTTTCAACTGTGTGTTCTCTGTGCTTTTGCATTCCACTGTGGTGCAGTTCCATTGTTTTCAGTGTAAACATGCACTGGAGATATGGCGGGGGGATGTTGGTGTAACAGAGGCTAGTTAGTTTTGCAGATAAATCTAATTTCTCTGTCTTCAAAAGCCTTGCTAGCGAATTACGCTAGAGACTTAGTGTCCTTTGGTAGTGTCCACCTGCCATTCAAGAATTGGGATGTGCTGGTGCTGTGACCCAGATGGAAGTGAGGTTTAAGTGTGTCTATGGTATGAGGCGAGCTAGTGAGAGCTATGTAGCTAACCTCAATCACATCAAAAGACCCATTAGCAATTGATGTTACAGGCAGTGGCCTTTATGCCGAGTTCAGACTGCATGATTTAATAGATTACATGACCATCTGGGTTATTGTTCTATTGCTGCTGAGTTTACACTGCAAGATGGATCGACGACAGGGGGTTTCACACCGCATTACAATAGAAGAATCACTGACAACTTTGTCTCAGTCAACAAACTATGTCTCACAACCAAGCACTCACAAGAAGTGACATGGAAACAACTCAAGGTCATCTATCTCTTGTTATTAACTACATATTACGAAAGAAGCATTTAGTGGGGTAGAAAATCTACTTATTTTGCTCACCTGGCTTTTGAAGTGAATTAGCAATTGCTCAATGACACGTCAAACAGACACAGGTGCTCCAGCCAAATTTCCACTAGCTTTTCCTCCATTCTTTGTGTCCAAATAGACCCAATAGAAGCCCTTTTAACTTCTCCCCAAACTACCCACTTGCCTGCAGATACCCATACTAGTGGAATGCTGCTCTCTCATTGGTTGTAGGTGATCGCCGATGTAGAACACATTTCACATGGCATGAGTTTGAATCGCCAACAGCTCCAGATATTTAGCATGTCAAATATCTTACACGTGTCGGCGACTCATTGCCTCTCTCAGATTGAGTTTTTGATAGTAATTGTTACTCACATGAACAAGCATAGATTTGCCTGTGATTTCAGGCATTTGTCTGCGACTTCTCAAAATCTGTCAGCGAGTCAATATCGGAGCTAAAATCATGCCGTCTGAACTCAGCACTAGTGTTCTTTGATAGTGTGCCCATTGTCTAAAACCCACTCGAGTACAAGTACAACCAGAGGAGTTGTGTTGGTGCCGTGACCCGGAAAGGAATGAGATTCACAGTGTATGCAGGTAAACCTCACTCCTCTAGCTTTGAAATACACACTAACTGTTGATGTTAGACGATGCAGTCTTTAGCATTCTTTAGTGGGATGTCCTCTTCCAATCCTGTTTTGATTTTGGCAAGTAGAACTGGAGGGGCTGCGGTGGTGCCATGACCCGAATGAGGTTTTCCCATTGGCATTTTCACATTCTACTGTGCTGTGTTTACATTGTTCAGCAGAGGATTCGGTTTCTCCTTTTCAGCCTTTTGCTGTCAAAAAATGGTCAACACAGGATAGTGGAAAGTGAAAGAAAGTGAGGTCTTGAGAACTTTTTAAACTTGTATCCATCTTGTTTTTACATAGAAGACCAATGGGAAAATGCTTTCTGTGTGATTGGTGTTTTCTGGGTTAAGCTCAGGTACAGGATAAAGACATAAGCAATATTTCAATATTTCAATCAGTGCAGTGTTGCGTTTGTTACAGCAACAAGATCTGATGAGAATTACTACTGTACTGATATCTGCAGAAAAGCTGTGACTCTCCTTGTGTTCTTTCACACAGTAGGTCAGTTGAAAATTCCTTATTTCAAGACAGATATATGCATTTTAGTTTATTAGCGAAACCTTTTTTAAGAGATGTTTGAAATATGTTTGCCTTTTTATAAGGTGGTTAAGAATGTCTGTTTTTTCTTCAAGGAAGCCTACATGCTTGTAAGTGAAGGATGTTTTTGTGTGCCTAAAAGAGAGTGAATAATTATGGGTGGCCTGGGTATTTATTCAGTGTTATAGTGTTAATGTATGGATGGTGATGTTGATGGCATGTTGTGTTTAGATTCTCTACATTGGTGACATAACACACAGTGATAATATGAATGGAGGATGTTACTGTGGTATCAGAGACTCTTTATTGTGGTACCACAACCTCATTCGAAGTTCATTATTGCTCCATTAATATATCCGATGAGCTGCTGGTCAGTTCATTGTCAGAGTGCATCCCATCATCATTAGGGTCAGAAAAATTCAACCTGTGTAGAGGATGAAAATCAAATGTTTTTTTGTTTGTTATTTGTAACTGGATTTACAAAATACTTAATAAATTATTTCAACGCCAGATTAGTGTGGGTTATTTTAAAGTGTTATTGAATGACCTTAGGTTTTGAGTCCTTTGCTTTTACACAATTGCATGCACATGATACAATTTGATTACTGCAAAACGCAGCTATTTATTTTTCCTAAGTTAACCTTGTAAGAATGTTTTTCGTAATCATTCGAGTTTATTTTTGTTCAACTTAGTTATATAAAGTATAGAGATTAACAAATAGTATCAACAGTGCTGGGTAGAAATTGATTAAATGTAATCCGGATTATGTAATCATACTCCAAAACTTTCATTTACAGTTTTAACACTGTGGTTGTATTGACTAAAATGGCAATACATTTCGTCACCCTAGAATTATAAGGTTCTATCTGACATTTTTGTCAAAATTGAGTTATTCACATATTCTTATAAAAAAAACAACCTTTGAATGTTTTTTTATATATAAGTCGTTTACATTTTAAGACTTTTTATTTAAAAAGACAAATGTTACAAACATACTGTTTACTATGGAATGCAAAAACTTTGAAGCTCAATATCTCAAAATCAATCAGAACGCAGAACCTTATAAATCCAAGGTGACAATTTTCCCTAATTTATTGATTCACCCCAATTCTTGGTTTTTAAATTGAATAGATCATAATTTTTATAAGGGTGACATGGTGGCTCAGTGGTTAGCACTATCGTCTCACAGCAAAAAGGTTGCTGGTTCGAGTGCCGGCTGGGTCAGTTGGCAATTCTGTGTAGAGTTTGCATGTTCTCCCCATGCATGGGTTTCCTCCATGTGCTCCGGTTTTGTCTACTGTTCAAAGACGTGGAATAGGTGAATTGAATACACTGTATGAATGTGAATAAGTGTGTATGTTTCCCTGTACGGAGGTTGTAGCTGTAAGGACATTTGCTATGTCAAACATATGCTGGATAGTTGATTTATTCTGCTTTGGCGACCTTTGACGAATGAAGGGACTAAGAAAAGGAAAACGAATGAATGAATGTTTTATATAAATCTAATGAACTAATTTTACATTAATATTTAAGTTATCACTTATTAGTCACTTATTATTCATATATTACTATTCTTGAAGGCATATCAAATATGATATAGGCCAGCCATAACGAAAATTATGATCCAATAATAAAGTTTATTCTTTTTTAGGACGTGAGACATAATTTAATGTTTAATACACTTTGTGTTCATTCATTCATTTTCTTTTTGGCTTAGTCCCTTTATTAATTAGGGGTCACCACAGTGGAATGAACCACCAACTTTACAGCACATGTTTTACGCAGCAGATACCCTTTTAGCTGCAACCCAACACTGGGAAACACCTGTACACTCCTGCATTCATACACATACACTACAGACAATTTAGCTTATTCAATTCAGTGCATGTCTTTGGACTCTTTCGGAGGAAACCCATGGAGAACATGCAAACTCCACAAAGAAATGCCTATAAACCCAGCCGGGGCTCAAACCAACCTTCTTGCTGTGAGACGATTGTGCTACCCACTGCACCATCGTGACACCCTACACTTTGTGTTGTTTACTACAAATTATTCATTTTTTTTTTTATAAATATTTTAAAAACCATTCTAATCTTTATGATAAATGAGTAGTCAAAGTACTTGTCGTGGCAGGGTCCTAAAAACCAGTTTAATTTTTACAAATGTGTCAATGTATGATATTTAGAAGTAGATGTATGCTTATTTACATTTTAGTTAGTTAGTTATATCAAAGTTGGATGCTTAAAAAGGTCAAGTTTTTTTATTTTTTTTGTACTTTCAATAAAAAAGTTTTTTTTTTCATGTTTGTGTTTGTATTTAAAAACATTATTAAACGTGTACATTTTTAAAACAACAACCAATCACTGCCAAATCCTGCTGTAAACCAAACCGTAGGTTCTTGTTTGATCTTTCCCTTGTTTTAATAGATCAAGATTGTTTTTTTTTTTTTCCTTCTTCATTTTTAAATAAAACATTTTTCCATATTGGTCGATCGAAGGCCAATTTTCTTTTTTTTTTCTTTCTTTTTTTCAAAAACAGTCAATAACCGACACATTTTGTTGTAAACCTCCAACTATTTCGATGCTGAGATATTTGCCTGGAAAAAAATTATTACATACTTTTTTTTTACTTTTAATAAGAATGTTTATTTTTTCATATTTGTGTTTGTATATAGGCTAATATTTATCAAAATTATTATTTTTTCAAAAGCACAAGCAATCACTGCCAAACCCTGCTGTAAACCACAAACCACTAACGTTATTTGAAACTGGGAGGTCCTAAGTCTCCGTTTAATTCCCAACTTCCAGCAGAAAACACATGACCGACCACAGGGCTGAAAACAACATAGGTCTGCTGCGTTTGCCAACATGATCCAAACACGGACTTTTTTACTCTCTTTTGTTTTCTTTGTCTTCACTTTTTCGGTGGTTGTTGCTCAGACGGCCAAAAGTCCAGTAACAAGTAAGTATAACCACACAGCTATGTGTTTACAACCTTACCGCAGATTTGACAAAAACATTGGCCGTGTTTTAATACTCGGAAAGAATTTTTGGCTTTGGTTTAGTTCACTCAGTCGGTTCGGTTTGGAAAAAGCGCACCTCATGCCTAAAATGCCGTCTAGGTAGTGCTCTTGCAAGGTTTTGACACAGCCACTGTCCGTTTGTCTAACCAGAACGCTTTTCGTGAATTAATTGTCCAGCAAGTCGTCTACATTTTCTTGGAAACACAATAATGTTTAATAAGTGACAGTTTGACGACATTTTAACTTCACTTGTAGAGCGTGTGGCTCAGTAAAACAAATCTCGCTGATCAATGAAATTGTTTTTTTTTATATGACTGACTTAATTTCAGTGTTTTTGTTAGATTTTTTAATCTGTTTAAAAACTTAAACTTGACCAACTGGCTTTTTTGTGCTTATTTGAATGTGCTTTGCATATGCCCTGCTGTTTCGCAGAGACTCGTGAGTGCCTTGTTTAAATCATATGACAGACTATAACAAAGTAATACTTTGTGTCATGAAAGGTCGGGGAAAATATAAAAAATAGTACTGCTTTTCTTCATACAAGCAGATCCGTTGTGAAAATTACCCGTTTACTATATAAAAAAAAAACATGATACAATGTTAAACAAGGAATAAACAAGGAAACCACAACCATGGTTTTGCTACAACCATAGTTTTTATAGTAAAACTTCTTGTGAACATGCAAATTTTAGTCAATTTGCACAAAAAGTCATTCTTTTATTATAAAAAACAATTACAGTAATTGTATTAGAAGTCATAACATTGCACAAATTTTATATTTTAAAATCTGTAAACTTGACTGAAAATATTCATTTGTTAACATAATTAAACTAACCAACATCAGCTTTATCCCTGCTCTTATAAATGTGTCCTTTTCACAGACTGCACTATAAAATCCAACACAACTTGTGAAGATTGTTTGAAGATTGTTTCGGTAAGAATTTTCAGTTGGTAATTGTTGATAGCTGATAACAGTTGTGGTCACCAGATTTCTAAATCCATATTTTATAAATAGACAGCATTAGTGAGATATAAACTGTATGTAACGGTTGTGTTTAATCACTTTATTTCAGTGTTTGTGGTGCATCTCAAGCCAGAAATGCATTGACTATCCAGTGAACAGCGTTCTGCCCTCTCATAGTGTTTGTCCACTTTCAGATGCACGATGGGGACTGTGTTGGAGTAAGACTGACAATTACATACGAAATGTGTAGCACCCAAAATGAAAATATATTGTTCATTAAATGGATAGTTCAGCCAAAAATAATTTTTAAAAAAAGTCTGTCATCATTAATTTACCATCACAATCCTGTTTGTGTTTCTGTCTTCTATTAAAAACAAAAAAGAAAACTAATCATTGACATCTGTAGTATTTGTTTTTCTTACTATGGAAGTCAGTGGTTACAGGTTACCAGCTTTCTTCAAAATATCTTCTTTTGTGTTTAACAGAAGACCGAAACTCATAAAGGTTTGTATCCATATGAGGGTGAGTCAAAAAGGATTTAATTATTATTATTATTATTATTATTATTATTTTTATTTTTATTTTTTATTATTATTTTTTTTTTTTTTTGGTGAACTGTTCCCTTAACTTGTCCTCAGCAAATTGTAATTTTTGGGTGAACTATTATAAAGCTATACCATTCACATTCCTCTTTTCTCATTGTTTTACAATCCCTTTGCATAAAAAGAAAGATAAGGAAGAGGATAATTTGTGTAGCTGCATAACTGTTGAAGCAATAACAGTTTCATATTGTACATCATATTCGTAATTCATGGTAGCTTTACATTCCTGAATGTCACTTTACTACATTTAGCGCCATTTGCACTCTTATAAAATGTGTCAGCCAGTTTAACCATCTGAACCTACTGTACATGTTGTAAATTGTGGATGTAAATGATCTCATAAGCTTTGTGTTGTGTGTTTAACAGTGAATTTCCAGATTCTCATCATTACTATCTCTGTGATCGCGGGAGTGATTGTCATCGCCATATTCGTCTGCTGTTTCTGCTGCTGTAAATGTGAAAACATTGGGTAGGTTGCAAACCAACACACACAAGATTGATCATCAGGTAATACTTTAAGAGTTTAATCTGTATATACCTTAAAAGCATATTACATTCAAAAATTAAAGTGCCTAATTTAATTTTCAAGAACTTTGCCGTCCCATGGCTGCAGCATCCGCAATAATATTATGCAACACTGTTACTTTACTTTACCTACTGTAGGGACTATTTTCAGGTACTTTATAAAAAAGCAACTTTTCATTTTCTGTCAGTCTTGTACATTAAGGAACAACAAAAGAGTTAAACTTCAAAACTCTTTTTCATTTTTTTTTTTTAGCTAGCTGCTAATGGTCTAATCTAGTACATTGATTTATGCTAAGCTAAGCTAAAAGTGCTTTTGTCAAACCCAGAAATTGGCTGAATGGATACAAAAATGGCATAACTCAACTGTTTAACTCTAGGGGACTTTTTTTCTGGCGTTTCTTTTCAGATGAGTCTATTAATTTCTGCTGTGGACTGTATAAAATTTTGCTGCTATGAATTGTTAAAAACCTGTTTACTAGAACATTGGAGCACATATAGCCTATATAGCCTATCGGAAACGAATTAATAAAAAGTATTTTGTATTTTTGTGTTATAATTTAGCAGGTCTAAAAGGAGTGAGGAGCGAATGGAGAATCAAGCTAGTCTGAGAAAGTTTCGTCATGAGGAGAGGTATGATGTGCTTTAGGGTAACCTAAATGCACACAATTGATTATTATTATTTTATTTTAGAAATTTCCTTGTCCACAGTGTTAACTTGATGAATATATAAAAAAACACTTTTCCTTTTTTGCAGGAAAGCAGAGATGAAGCAGAGACATGATGAAATGCGATTGAAATATGGTAAGATTTGCCTTGCGTTGTAAATAACAAACCTAAAAAAAATAAATACTAATATCCTTTAAATTAATAATTATTTATGCTGTATTTATATTAGTGACTCATATTGTGTTGTATTTTAGAGTTTTCTCTCTTTGCTTGTCTTGTTTATTAGGTTTGAAGAAGGATAACCAGTACTCCAGATTTGAGAACAGCTAGGCAGCTTGTGATGATGCTCAGCTGTTGTCTTCTATTTTAAACTCAACTCTTCAGCACTCCTTTTTTGAAGAGCAAATTTGATTCAGTCATACCTGTATATTTATCAAATCTATAAGCAAACCACAAAAATATTTTTTGTATTTATTGAAGCCTTTAGATTGAAGGGTAATGATGACTTTTGCAAATCAAACTAAGCATCCACATAAATTGACAACATAAATGTAATACTACAGCAACACTGAAAGCTACCTTTATTTTCCTCAAACTAATAAGCTTAATTATTAAGGACTTCAATAGAAAACCATTTTGTTCAAAGATTTTCTCTTTTCACATTTTCATACATGCTTAAGTGAAATTGATTTAATACTACTTTTTTGGCATTTTGATATAATGTTGCATTGAATGTTTTAATCTCTAGCTTATCGCCAAAGACTTGATTTGTTTTGTGATTTGTTTTGTGCACCTTTCAAAGTCGAATAAACTTGAAAAATACATTTTAAAAGTGAACACTGTAAAATTGTTGTTGTTTTTTTTGAGGAGTTATCAGAGCAGATGTTTGTGAGTGTATTCAAAATACTTTTTAAGATATACAGTTGAAGTCAGAATTATTAGCACCCCTGAATTATTTGCCCCCCTCCGCTGATTTCTGTTTAACGGTGAGCAGATTTTTTTCAACACATTTCTAAACATGATAGTTTTAATAACTCATTTCTAATAACTGATTTATTTTATCTTTGCTATTATGACAGTTAATAATATTTGACTAGATCTTTTTTAAGACACTTCTGTACAGCTTAAAGTGACATTTTAAGGCTTAACTAGGTTAATTAGGTTAACTAAGCAGGTTAAAGTAATTAGGCAAGTCATTGTATTTAGATGTTTTTTTTTTCTGTAGACTATCGAAAAAATATATAGCTTAAAGAGGCGAATAATTTTGTCCTTAAAATGGGTTTTAAAACAATATCTGATTTTATTCTTGCTGAAATAAATCAAGAGAAGAAAAAATACTATCTGACATACTGTTAAAAGTTCATTGCTCTGTTAAAGATAATTTGGGAAATATTAAAAAAAAAAAAAAGAAAAAAAATTCCAAGGGGGTCTAATAATTTTGACTTTAACTGTGTATATGTAACTTATCTTTAAGTATAGAGAGCTCTGCTGTAAGGTGATTAATAAAGTCTACCAAACAAACATTCAAACCTACATTTACCTTTATAAAAAACACATCAAACATAACATTTTACGATAATGTTATCTGAGAACTTCCTGACCCCAGAGCTGTACATACTGTACATAAATGAAAGGTTAAAGTAATGCGTTTGCTACTTTTGTACTTTTTTCTTGTTGCATAAAATCACTGTCCATTGAGACTAAAATCCCCTTTTTTCAATTTCTTCCATGTTCAAAACAGTGAACACATTGAACACATGATTGAATGTAACTACATTCATTTTAGTTCAGCAGTTTGTTTTTTAAAAGCTAATTAATTAAAGTAAAACGTAGCTCACATTACTTTCTTTAACTCAAATGTTATTACTTAATTTTGTAAGTAATACATTACTCGTTACCTAGAAAAGTATTATTATGCAACTTGTTACTTGTAATTGTTTTTGATTATATATATATATATATATATATATATATATATATATATATATATATATATATATATATGTATATGTATGTATGTATGTATGTATGTATGTATGTATGTATGTATGTATGTATGTATGTATGTATGTATGTATGTATGTATGTATGTATGTATGTATGTATGTGTGTGTGTGTATATATGTATGTATGTGTATATATATATATATATATATATATATATATATATATATATAATTATTTGAATATGACTAGTTTGTTTATTGTATTAATAAAATAATTATTTAATTTTGCATCTGGTAAAACATTTTTTGTGCTGTTTTGAGATTGTGTAAATGTTTTTTATCATAAATTTTCATAATTAAAGGTTTTGTATGCCTTTAAAATTGTTATATTTTCATATTAATGTAACTTATTTAAGCTTTGTGCATGTGATGCATAATTTTTAAAAATGCATACATAATCAGCCTACATATGTTGGCAGAAGTCATTTCATCTTTTAATTTAAAGGGATAGTTCAGCCAAAAAAAATTAAATTTACTTGTATTCATATGGTTCTAAAATTTTTTGACTTTTTTCTGTCGAACAAAAGAAGATAATTTGAAGAATGCTGAAAATGGCAGCCTATGATATTCATTCATTCATTCATTTTATTCTCGGCTTAGTCCCTTTATTAATCTGGGGTCGTCACAGTGAATTGAAGCGCCAATTTATCCAGCACATGTTTTTATGCAGCGGATCGATGCCCTTCCAGCTGCAACCCATATCTGGGAAACATCCATTCACACTCATACACTACGGCTAATTTAGCCTACCCAATTCACCTGTACCGCCTGTCTTTGGACTGAGGGCGGAAACCGGAGCACCCAGAGGAAATCCACGCGAACGCAGGGAGAACATCATGCCTTCCTGCTGTAAGGTGACAGCACTACCTACTGCGCCACTGCGTCGCCCAGCTTATGATATGGAACAACAAAAATGTAATGGTTGTCAATGGCTGTTACTTTTTAAACATTCTTCAAAATATCAAATTTTTTTGTGTATTACAAAAAGAAATTCAAACATGTTTTGAACAGGAGAATGTTGAGTAAAAAATGGCAATTTTCACTTTTGACTGAACTATCCCTTTAAGGCGCTCGGGATTGATCACGTGGTTCCAACCTGACCAATAATATCGCCGATTAGATTTTTTGCGCGTTCCACCCTGCATGGAATCACGTGTTCTAACCCGGGCCAATCAAATGAGCGAATCCGGTTTGCGCGTTCTTGCCGAGCGCGGGTAGGACAGAAGCGGGTAGTAGCGCACTCGTGCAGCCGTCACATCCACATTCAGCCGGAGAATCCACATTTCCACAAAAATGTCAGAAGAAAAGCCAAAGGTACGTGCGTGTTTCTTTGTCCTGTGCTCTAGCAGCACGTGGAGGATTATTTTGATGCGTTTCTGATGGGTGAATGTAGATAGCGTGGCTCCTGCTATTTATATGTGCTTAGAAGGGAAACAAAGAGGTTTTCAACAATTAAGATTGTGCGCATTTTCCGCACGTGGCCATCTAACACAATCTGCCATCAAGCTACATACAGATTCTTAACGTCTCATGCTTCTAACAGTCAAACCGGCGGATTTGAAGCGTCGTTTCTGCATCGAGGTGTTCGGATTGGCTTTCATTCATGGCGGATAGTGGCTTCAAGTTTGCGCCAAACGCGCTTTCACAGAAAGCGACGCGCTGTCCGAAGTGTCGCATAGGTTTATAAACAGCGTCCTGTTTTAGTATCAATGCAGGTCATATAGCCTCAAGTGGGCTGTGAAGCTCATCTTAAACGTGTTGTTAATTTCATAAGGACATCTCCAATGTTTTAATAGTTGCTGCTGCACAATGTGGCTTTAGCGCAAACGCTGCACATGTTTATTGTTCATGTTTGATGATCACGAACTCTGCGTTTGCTTTTCCAGGAGGGAGTCAAGACTGAAAATGACCACATCAACCTGAAAGTGGCGGGTCAGGACGGGTCTGTGGTACAGTTTAAAATCAAGAGGCACACTCCTCTCAGCAAACTGATGAAGGCCTACTGCGAGAGACAGGTGAGAGGAGCTACTAACATCCCACATCTGCACACATCATCCAGCTCTGCTTTCAGTGTGCTGCTTGCTGATGTGCAGAACTTTAACTTTCAATTATTTCTTGTTCAAGGGTTTATCCATAAGGCAAATTAGGTTCCGGTTTGACGGTCAGCCTATCAATGAGACGGACACACCTGCACAGGTTTGTGCCTTTTTAGGTTTTATTATTTTTTTATTTTGTTTTTACTAGTTTGATTGCTGATTTACAACATGGGGTCATTATTTCTTGCTCTAGCTATAAAATATATTAATCAGCTCAATCTGAAAGGGTAAAGTCTCCAATAATTTTTAGCAATACATAGAAACTCAAAATGCAATAATATAGAATCTATTATTCTTTGGGGTCTTTGCTGATTTTGTGCGCATATTTTGAGTTGTCATTTAAATGCTTTATTGTTTGTTAACCTTGTTAACTCTGTTGGTAAAGACAATGGTGTAACATTCAACTTTTAAATTAGATAACAATTACAACGTTCTAAAGTAAAATGGTGCTAAAATAATATACTCACTTATACTCGATATACAACTGTAAGGTTCGTGGTCAAATGGCTGCTTTGGAAACAAAAAGCAAGCTAATTTTCTTGAAACTTTGTAATGCTGTGCTAAAACAAAATTTGAAGTTATTTTGACACCTCGGTGTCAAACATTTTTAGATGTAGTTAAAGTTTAAAGCGATTAAAAGAAATATGCAACCCATGTGAATGTTTGTGTAATTTTTTCCTATTTCTGTGGTGCAAAGTAGGGCTGCACAATATTGTAAAAATCTAACATTGCTATATATTCTGCGATTTATATATTGCAATAATACAATTTCACCAGATGAAATCATTAACTATTTGGGAATAATTTATAATTTTAGATTAATTGTGATGGTTAAGGGAGTGTATAAAGAAATATATAATAAACTGTCTGCAAACTATGTTAATTCAACAAAGAAAAACATACAAATAAACATTGTTTAATCGTTTTTAAAGGAGTCTTACTGTATTTAAGTATGCAGTAATTGAATAATCAATGTAAAATAATACTGCATAGGCTTTATTTTATAAACAATTCAATAAAAATTAATTACAAAATGGCAAGTTACAGACTGTAGTAATTGTTAAGCCTGAACACTTTTAAACCCCTCACAGGCCTAAAAAACACTTATATGATAAATTATAATGCAAACTCAACATTGCACACACTTGCGATATCAGTGTTGAAACAATATATTGTGCAAAGTATTTAAGATTGCATGGTTGAAGTTAAACATTTCATCTCATCTTTTATTGTCAGTTCAACCACAGTGATGTTTCATCGAGCATTAAACCCAAGTGTGTTTTTTGCTCAATTCAAGATCTTCTCTTTTTGGCTAGTTGCGAGATCAATTTGAGATCTGTCTGGAAAACAAACCAAACACGATCCACGCAAACACAAACTGTCCTTGTGGTGCAAACAAGCAGCAGTATTTTAAACCATAAACATAATAAACACTTATTGACATGTATAATCAGATTTATTTGCTGTTAAATGTTAGTTATAACACATTATTTACAAGGTACAACAATATTTTCACATTTTAATGATTGGGAGTTGGTACGGTTAATGGATACAAATAAATGTATTGCCTTTCCCCATAGGTCATACCTTGCATATGGGATCAAAATTCCACCAAATGTGTCACAGATCAAAAAATAAGCATATAAAAAAAAATTGACATCAGGTGTACTTTTACATTTTGTCAATTAAGTGTCAAATTATATGTATACAATGCGATACATTTAGTGGGATTTTG